GATCAAATCTGGCTGGGATTTCTTGGGTCGTTGGCGAATTCTGAACTAAACTGATCTACTTCGGCGATCTCTTGGGGCTTTTATCGCCTTTTGGCGGGCTTCGCTTTGCCCCGTCATATAGGCTCTATATATCTCGACATCTCGGTGTATATAGCCCACACAAACACATCTCCGATTGTGGATTGTGGATAGCACGCGCCTGACTTTGGCTTCGGATCGTGCCGAGAGGGCCGATTCGATTCGATTCGATTCAATTCGATCGAAAGAAAGAACAACAACTACGGGGCACCGACTGATTTGAATACCCGCCCGCCGCCGCTTCGAAATCATATTAATATATAATGCCTGGCCCGCCTCGGAACCAGATTTTAGTTCGATTTGATATAAACAACAACAGCCGCATCGCATCGATTCATTTAAATGCGCCAAAGTTGTCTATAACGTCTTGGGCCCAATTCAAGCACCACCGACCAACCAAAACCATTAATGCATATCGTGTGACCAAGGGCCGATAGATTTCGCCCCCGCCCTTAGGATCAAAATGCAAATGAGTGGCCTGACACCACCCCTATGATTTCCCGGTTCTCCGGTCTTAGCGGTCATCGATCCGACAACGTAACGATTCGAATCAAATAACTGCTGTTTTTATGAGGCACAATGAAACTGCTATAGTTTTTATAAGAATGTCGGGTAAATTGTACCACAGATTTTTAGAAGCCAATTGATAAAAACAAAAATGTGGATGATTTCCCATAGCTACTGATTTTTTTCCCATAACTTAAGATTGCAAATATTACAAAAAGTGGAAAGTACTTATCTTTTAAGATATTTTGGTTAATTGTTCCAAAAAAATCGGATAGAAACTGGTAGATAGAGGCATAAAACTAAACTTGTTTTTCCATTTTAAAACAGTATTTAAATGAACATAATAAAAGATTATGTATGATCCAAATGCTAGACTGATCAAAAAATTGATAAGTAAACCAAAAAAAATCTGACTGTTTAATTCAAAATTGTATATTTAATTATTAAATTTAAATTAAACATTAAATACAATGCATATTAAATTGAATGATTTAGTATATAAAATATATTATATTTATTTTTATATATATTTAATTTAAATTTAATTTTTAAATTAAATACTAATTCTAAAAATACAATGCATATTAAATTGCATGATTTACTATTAAAATAGTTTATTTCATGTGGAAAAAATTATATTAAAAAAATAGTGCAAATGCATTTTATTTAAGTAAATTATGGTATACATTTAAATTAATTTTTCTGCTATTAAAATCAATTCCAAACATATTGAAATGAAAAATTTTCAAACTGATTGTGGTTTTCTTATTTAAAATAAATAAAAACCGCAATGGATGAAAATCAAAGCGAAAAATATTGAAATTGAGTACAAAATATTTGTATTAACCAAATGACATAAAAGTGGAGGTGTGTTTTTCTCCATAGTTTGAGTAAATTATTCTTTTTTTTTTAAATTTAGAAACGAAATATTACACTCAAAATTGTTTAAATTAAGTTTACTTAATGTTCACGAAAACTAGTTGAAATGTTTTTTCCCAAGATCTTTAAAAGTGTGAGAAGGATTAAAAGCATTTTAGCATGCCATCATCTCGCTAAAACAGTATTTGTATACTTTATAGGGTCAGATACACCGAATGTAAAAATTATCAATTTAGTAAACCTTCAGTATACGTAGACCTAAAAATATATAAGCTATTTACACATTGTTTTTCTTTAAAAAATAAGGAAGCTCACTTGGAAAACATTGACTCTATACGCTATATTTAAAATATTTCCCTGTTTGATTTAGGTTAATACAAATTAAATGTAAGTTTCGGAAAGCTTTTTCCACGTCAAATTTAAGTCACAAGAATTATTTGTTATCATCGTTGGCCGCATACGGTGTGACTTGAGATAAAGCTAAGCAGATCTTATCAAAATATATATATTTTATTAAATTATTCCGTTAAAATACTTAAACTCTCAAATGCAAAAGATTTCCTAGACTAAAAATCTATCCTTTATAGGATTGAAAACACGCATAACTTATTCTAAACTTTAGTTTTCTATCTTAAAAACTAAAAATGTTTCTACAAATAGTATTTTTCAACCCCTTTGTTTGATTAATTTTGATTAAAAATACCAACAGAATTTCTTTACTAGATGCACATCTGGGCAGAAGTGGAATTTACAGATTCAAGTCCATTGATGTAATAGCATGGATTTGCATAATCGCATATGCATTAGAGACTATAGCCAGACCGATCTAGACCCGATCAACTAGATCAGCTAGTTCAACTCGGCAATCACACCTGTTGACAATGACAACGCAATTTTAGGGATTTTTGAGCTCGATCTCCGGACAGGAATCGATTGCTTTTCCAAACTGCGTCGCAAAAATATATAGAAACAAGTGCTTAAGTCGGTTGACGTACGATTTCACAGAAATAGACTTTGACAAAAGGACACATTTCGGAACGATTGAGAATCAAACTTGATAAATCGCAGCAGAACAATGTGGTGGTCGTATATTAAGCTTTATTTTGACTGCAAATTGGATTAGTGTCATGAACGAGGTGATTCAAAGCGAAAGGTGAAGAAATAACCAAGCTATTATCTTATTTTGTATTTTTTTTTTAAGTGGCATCTGCTTAAATTTTTTAATGTCACAAGCTAAAATAAAACGTTAATGCTACAATAGAAATATCCATTCAGCTTTAATCGGATTAGAAATCCAATAAAAATAGAGTTACTGGACTTTGCATCAGACCACCTTTCAATTGACCTTGCGATTAATTTCTTTATACAGATCTTTTTTATTTGTGCTTAGCCTTTGGCAAAGTCGATAAGTTATGATTCTGAAGCAAATTACTAAAATTTTATTAGGACCGTTTTACAAAATGGGAAAGAAACTATATATTTTAAAGATGTTTTTCATTATTTAATACTTTCTCTGAAAATAAAAACTGAATCATTTTTGGTATTAGTTTTAAAATATTTGCTTTGGCGACGACAATAACCTATTAGAACTTTGCCTTTGAGTGCTGCAATTTATGTTTATAAAGATTTTAAAATGTAAGCAAAAAACCTAAATAAAAAATCATGCATATAGATGGTGGCCAATCGTTGTGTTTTTATTTTGATCCCACTTATAATTCTGATAATTGTAAATATGGTTTGTTATTGGAAATTCCTGACTCATATGTAAATATTCTTCGTATTTTTACACTGTTCTTAATGCTTGTTTTTGATTGTGCTTATTATAAGTTGTTATTGCTGTTGTGCCTGGCAATTATTGTTCGATAAACAAAAATATGTTTTTCGCGCTAGCCTTGCCATTGCATCACAACAGTCCCCGATTTCTCAGAGTCAGGCCAGTGGACCAGTTGACCAGCTGTTCAGTTGTCCAGTTGGTCAGTTAGTCAGTTAGTCAGTGGGTAAGTCAAGTTAGCAGATCGATGGAGCGAGCCTCCAGTTTACCTTGTCCGGAGCAGGTTTTCTTGAACTTCTTTTTTCTGGCCGCTGCTACTGCCGATGTCACGCCCCCCATTGAAAACAATCACTTTATGGTCCCGGTCTCCCTTTTAATAAATGAAATGAAATGCGAAATTATGTAATTTCTTGAAAATCTCTTAATCGGCCATATCATAACAATTGTGGCTCGTTTCTTATGAAAACGGAAATTAAGTGTAGTTTAATTATCCCAAGGTTTTTGACTCAGAAAATGCAAATACTAACTTTTGCTTGTAAAAATTCATTTACACGCGGATCTCCGTACCAGAAATTTAACTACAAAATATCTAAAAAAAAAACATCTAAAATATTTACATACGGGCCTTTTTCACCTTTTCCCTAATGCAAATTTTAATTTTAAATTGTCACAAATGTACATTTCTTGGGGAAATATATATATATTTATTATTTCATGTACCCATAATGACCAAAAATTGTTAAAATAAATTCGAGTAAAAAGCCTTCATTTTATACTTGGCAAACTAACATATTTTATAAGAAATTAATTCTAAAAGAAAAATACATGTGAAGGTTATTGAAATTAAGTACATCTAACATATCCAGAAATTAATTATATTTTAAGTTCAAATTTCTCAACATGATGAAATGGAAAAGCTAGATTGTCTTAAATGGGTTAAATGAATTTTTCCGAACGCTCTAAAAACTTAATAATGCCGATCGTTACGCTAGCTAAGCCAGAAAATAGTCAAATTACATTGAGAGTTTATTGGGATGGAAATTAAACCATGCCTTTTTCAATCATTCCCACACCCAATTAAATGATAATTATTTCAATAATTATCTACAAATCCACATTTCTTTCGCTCAATGGGCGGAACACCTTTTTCTTTAGATAATTACTGAATAAAGCCAAGCAGTGTGTGCATTTTCGAGAATATGTACATATATAAATATATTTTTCATCCGATGTTTACCTTGTTGACAAGATTAAATTATATTAATATCAAAAAAAAGCGACTTAACATAAATAATTAATCGAGAATAGAAAAATTTGATACATGTAGTCGAGAGTTTCATTTTTTTTCCGAAAATAAGATATAGTTTGTTGTAGTTGCAGAGGCTTTTCGGAATGCTTTATGTATGTAAAGGAATTAACATTAAGAATAGTTCATTTCTTTTTCGTAAAAAAATACACGAATTTTGTGCATTTTCGTGAATATATATACATATAACAATTTATTTGTAAACTTATTTGTGATTTTTGGAAACTTAAATTACCTTTCGAACATAAGATACAAAATAACGTAAATAATAAATCAAGATTCGAAATTTTGAAACATGTAATCGAGAGGTCAGTTTGTTTTTTCCGAAAATGTGTAATAAACATAAGTAGTTCCCGCTGAGACTTTAGTATCTAATAGTGCGAAACGCCTACTTGCGTTTAAACATGTTGCTGAGGCGTCTTTTGGGCGGCGAGTTCTGCAAATGAACAAGACATTTTGAGTACACAGATAAATTAACAAGCAAGTGAGATTTGTGCGATTTCCATTGCTTTGGTTTGCCACCGAAAAACTTAGATCGTGAGTAGGACCAGTCCAAAGACAGTGAATGCGGTGGTGAGCGCCACCACCACCATGTCCGCCAGCAGGCAGCCCAGTGCCACGACGAGGAGCAGAGCCAAGCCCACGATCATCCGCTGGCCGGAACTCAGATGCCGCAGGCGGCGTCTCGTCCGGGTCCACAGCGAGCGGTTGAGCGGCGAACCGGGCGGCAGCTGCGTGGCAGTCGGCTGGACATAGGTGATATTGATGTGCGGCATCGGCTGCATGTGCACACTGCCAAAGGAGTAAACCGTGCAGGATTGGCGCGATGAGGTGCTGGTCATGTTGGCCGTGGTGCTGCAGCTTCCGCCGGTGATGTTGCTGCTCGAGACGGTTTCTAATTGCAATCGGTTCTGGGGCGGTACTTCTCGGCCACCAACTGGCTCGTAGATAAGCGGCTGCAGTTGAAACGGCGCCGAGCACTCTGTCTCCTGGCACAGCTGCTCGAACCGCCCGTCCTCCGACGGCTGCTCCATCTGCCCACCTTGCGAGGCCCAGCTTGTGGCCAGATTTTCGGACTCGAACTGCTGCAGCAGCTGCCACGTCTCGCTGTGCTGCACCTCTACCTCATCCACATCCACATCCACATCTACATCCGCATCCACATCCGCATCCGCATTCACACAGAAAGTGGCGGACACAGGCGGTTCCCTGCGCTTATCCAACACTACAGTTTGGCCCATTAGGAACTGGCTGGGCGGCACCGCATGCTTTTCATTGCGATTGTGCAGACTGTAGTTGTTATTATCTGCGGGGGAGGATTCGGAACTGTCAGCCGCATAGGAGGAGAGATTGGCGGAGAGGCGTATTTGGTCGAGGTGACGGGCCTGATCGAAGCGACCCATCCGCTCCTGGCGCAGCCTCCGGTGCTGCTGCATCCGCTTGCCAGGCACAGCTGGCCTCGAGCTCTTGGCAAAAATGTTGCCGTGCAGGCAGAGTGAAACGCGGCCATTACGCAGCTTGGCAGCTGGGCCGGTAAGGCGACGGGTGTTGCCCTTGGTCAGGGCCAACAGTGCTGCCGTGGACAGATGTGGAGTGCCCTCCTGGTTCGCTTCATCCATCTCCGCCTCCTGCTGCCCTTGCTGCTCCTGCTCGTCCTGCTGCTCCTCCTCCTCCCCCGTGGCGGCGGCATCTGCCGAAGAGGTGTCCGCATCGCTGGCGCGGATCAGACGCTGCTGATCGTAGTAGGAGCGACTCTTGCGAGGCGTGGAGGTGCAAAACAAGCCCACCGTCTGGCGTAATTTGCGACGCTGTATCCCGGCCAGTAGATTCGACCGCTTGCGATGCGGCAGCTGTGGGAAAGGCCAGGCGTATTCGGTCAGTGGCCGGCTGCACTGGAACCACACAAAGGACAACACATGGACGAAGACGATGACGATGACGATGACGAGGACAAAGCAGCTAGGCTACACTTTACATATTCAATTACCCATGACACTGAACTAAAGCAATGGGCTATGATGGCCTTTCATCTAACCATCTCAATTTCTCCCCAAATTTTATCTTTAAACAACTTTGCTGTACTTCTTCAGAAATAATAAAAAGTTAATTTTTAAAACGTACTAAACGTATTATTAATAATTCACCAAACGTTCTCTGCTATCGATATCAAATATATTTTTATTATATCTAAGGATTCTGCTGATTTCTAGTGTAAATATATCTGTTTGCACATTGATACCCAAGTCTCGAAAAATAATATATTGTATTAAGATTTAAGCTAAACTAAAAGAAACTTCTTTATTTTTTAGAGAGTAGAGTTTTTTACCTTTCGGTTCTACAAAAATCTAATCATAAAATACATTTATCACAGATAAACACAAATTACAAAATATAATATATTATACTAATTTTTTGAGGCTTTTAACATCTTAACTCAAAACTTTAATATTGTAAATGAAAGCCATATTAAAAGTAACTGGTAACTTTTAAACAGTCTCTGTAGAGACTGAATTTTTAGTCCTATTTAATAATATATATTGTTCACAGATCCGTGCCTGGCAATCACACTAGCAATCACAATTTTAATCAAGCATCGAAAAGTAAAATTCTTCTCAACAGTTTCTTTTTAAAGTTAATATGGTAAACACAAGCTAACATATTCCCTATGAAGTTAAAAGCTTAAAATCCCACCATAAGATACACTTTTTGTATTAGAATAAACACTTTTTTATGGCCTTTTCATAGAAACGCGCCCACCCACCCAATGTACAGTGTCATGTGGGCACAACTCAAGCCAAAACCAATACCAAAACATTGAAAGGCACAAATCTACTCAACACTTGGACACGAACTCTGTGGCTCTGTGACTTACCTCGTCCCGGGGCAGAGTGCTGCTGCCAACGCTGAAACGCTGGGTGAGAAACTTGAAGCGTGCCGGCGTCTTGGAGGTGTTATTGTGGTCGCTGAACTCTCGCAGGATCTCCCGCGGTGGCTCCGAGCTGCCAAACGACAATCGTCCGCCGTTTTTGCTCGGTGTGGGCGGCCCTGGTCGCTTGTAGTGGGTGCCCATCGTCTTCTTGCGCGTTCCAGTACTCGAAGAGCTCAGCAGAGCGCTCATGCTGTCATCCAAACTGTGTGGTCCGTCCTGCCAAAAAAAAAATAAAAAAAGGAGGATACAGTTTAAACTAGTTCATATACGAAATCAGGATATGTTAGGCCATGGACAGCAACTGGGAAATTGTGACACGCACATATATATATATATATAAAACAGGACTAAATTAAAGACACAAAAACAAGCACAGCAACTTGGGAACAGAACGGAAAAGAACGTAACAGTACGGACACTCCAAATTTCGGACTTTACAGTGGACAAAAGCTCACTCGGTCGTCTCTGGGTAAAATTAAAGATTAAGTTTGCTCTACTGCCGACGTGTTATGTGGGCCCACTTTGCCCTCATGGCTGCCTGGCGGGCCTGCAAGGGTGTGCCGCCCGTGCCGTCCCTTGTCATAATGCTCCTTTCGGTTATTCTGCTGCCGGAGATCGGAGTGCAGCTAACGCTTACTTTGAGATCCTCGTCCTGGCTGCCCAGATCGTACTGGGCCGCATAGGTGCTCTTCAGGTGCGGCGGCTGCAACGAGTTCCGATAAATCAGCTCCTCGGCCCTGGGAAATCATGGGGAAAAAAAAGCATACGTTTAAACGACAAGCGCACACAGATCGAAACCAAAAGATCATATCAGATCACACTCACGTCATGTCGGGAACACGGCCCAATTTCAGATCCGTCAGGTAAGTGTTGTTGAAGACCTCACCCTCTTCGTCCTCCATGGCCAGATTGGAGGAGGGAGCACTGGGTCGCTTGAAGGGTTGCCAGTCCTCGTTTGCCGCCGATGAACTGGACGTGGACGAAACCGTAATCGTCGTCGCGGTGGATGGCTTTGGTGGTTCGCTGACGGGCTGCATCTGCAGATGGCGCAGCTTGGTGCTGATAATCGCGTGCTGCTTCTGCTGCTCCAGGATCTTCTCGTTAAGGCGGACAATCTGGTTGGACAGCTTGCGTGTGTGCTCCTCGTATTTGGCATTCTGTTAGTGAAAGGATATTTATATTCGTTAGAGATAAGTAATTTCAAATAGGTAAGTCTACTTTCGATTCATTTCCTTGAATTTGCGCGTAAATATACTTAACAGGTTTGTTAAGAAAACCTAAATTTTGTAACAGGGCAATTCAGACATGGATTTTATTTAAATTAAAAACAAATAAATAAAGCAACTTCTTAAATTCTTTACTAACGTATAATATCTAACTAAGCCTATCTAAAAGGCAAATCAATATGATTTAGGACTTTAAAAGAGAACTTTATATTTTCGAGAACTTACCACTATAAAAATTAGCATTTTAAATTAGAATTATGTTTTAAAAAATTATATTTATCTATCAGTGAAGTGCCATCTATCTATATTTAATATCTTTTCTAAATACCTAAGTAAATTGGTTTTGACCTTAGGAACCATCTTTGTTAGAAGTTTAATATGTTTATGAAACACAGCGATCAGTTTTATTTTGAATAGGAGTTCAGGGTTGCCATCGATCGGTGGACAAACAAGATAAAAAAAAACAATATTTACCTGGGCTGTGAGGGCCTCCAGCTCCGCTGCGCTGCTGGCTGCGTCCCGCTCCTGCTTCTCCTTCATGCGTGTCACCTCCGCCGTGTACAAGGAGCGCTACGGGCGGTGCGTCCAAATTCCGGGTACGAATGCAAATGCGCAGGAAGTATGGCAGTGTTCAGGTGTTCATATGGTGTAGGTATAGGTGCGGGTGTGGATGGGCGGCACGTGTTTTTCGAAGGACGAAAGTGAGTAAGACAGCAGAGTGAGACAGCACAAAACAAACAAACAAACAAAAACAAACAAAAATGGACAACAACTTTTGTGTGATGCCAGGCAAGGCACGTGCATATAGCAATTTATAACTAAGTACGCTTAACAATTGGTAAACAATTAATAACAAAAACTACCAAGGGTAGGGTGGTATTGGGTGGTGGTCAGCCTAGAACTGGCTGGGATTGCGTGATTGTAGTTCGAGGTCGACGTCGTTGTGGTACAAAATCATGTGAACTAAACCCATCAAAATCGCATGCGTGGCGGCCAAATACAACACCGTGCGTGTGCTAAACCACCGATTGCTCCTGGCAGGAATAGTATGTAGTATAGGTCGAGAAGCTATTGATGTTGCTGCTGCTGTTGTCGCTACTGTCGGTACTGTTGCATTTGTTGCATTTGTTGGCCCTTCTGTGCCGCCCTCCATAATGCCGATAATACCAATTGAAGAGAGAGATAGAGTCGTCTGGACAACTTGGGACTTGGGGATTGGAAATGGAAATAGGAAATGGAAATAGGAAAGGAAATGGAAATGGTATGAGGATGTGCGTCGGTTTTGTGTGGGATGGGTGATGATTTTTTGGCGGAGTGAATGGAGAGGAAGGAAAGATAAATGTGATTTTTAATTCGATGATGTGACAATTGAATTAAGTAAATCTACCAAGGCGCCCGCAATTGCGAAAGCAAATATGCAAGCAGCGCAGCATTTGTGGACTTTCATTTTAATTCTGATTTTAAATACTTTCTGGTGACCAGCTGTTTTGTTAATTGTTCTTCGAATTATTTATCCCATCAATATACAATTCTTGTATGTGGGTGCTTTAAAAAGATCTGATTAAATAACCAAAGTTTGTATTAGAATGAAAACATTTAATGCCATCGGTAGTACAGAATTATTTTGTTTTGGGGGCATAAACTAGTTAAACTTAGCTAAACTAACTGAACTAGATCTAGCTTTTTTTTATATATATGTATTATATATTCAACAATACGGACAGACAGATGGCCATATCTAGATTGCAAATATATAATACGTAATATATGCATTTAGGTGCTATACCGGTCTGATACTTTTAAAAGTGATATCCTTTTTTTTTCTTTATATATCAAAAAAAAAAACCCTGAAGACATTTAATTGTACCGATAAAAGTATCGGTATTATCGGAATTACCTATTCATAACTAGGTGTCTGTTTTCTTGACATTGGATAAATTGTAAGTTTTCGACGCATTTGGCAGACCTTAAAAAGCAGCACATACACGGCACATACACATGGATAACGCCACCTCAAACAACATCAACATCTACCCCTAGTTAAGGGCCAATTTATGTACGCAACAGAACGACATGAACACAAAAAGCACATGCACATGCACATGCAAAGGCGGCAAATCAAAGATGGCATGGTCCTGGCATCGGATCAGTTTCTTCCTTTGGGATCGGACCAGCGCAAAATGGTCGACACCAACCACAAGCGATGAATGAGACAACCGAGTGCGGAACGGAGACATCTCGACCAGCGCGACCATGCCACCTTCACTGGACCCGGTGGTTCGCTTCGACTTACCATCTTGGTCTTCATCTTGTCCAGCTTGCCCTCCATCTCCAGACGCTGGTCCTTTATCTTCTGCTCGCAGCGCTGGATCTCGTCCTTGGCATCGCGGTACTTGGCCTGCAGGATCTGGCAGTCCAGCGCCAGCTGGTTGTTTCTGAGCACCGCATCCTCCTTATTGGCATCCGATTCGGCCACATCCGACTTGCTGTAGGTGGCGCCGAGATCACTCGGACCCTGTTGTGTCATCTGACTTTCATTGGCGGCACGCATCTCGGCCAGCTTTTGGTTACTGTCGGCCAGTTGCTCTTCGAGTTGCTCCATGCGGCGCTGATAGTACCGTGCGAGTTCCGCCGACTCTGCACTCTCCTGCTCAATCTCGCGCGCCTTCTCCGCGAACTCGAGATGCTGGGTCTCTTGGACGAGCCGCGTGCCGTCCAGCTGCTGCTGAACTTCGGCTAGCTGCTTGGTAATTTCAGCCAGCTCTTGGCGGTCCTTTTCACGGTCTGCCATCTCCTCCTCCAGACGTTGCTGCAACTTCGCCTGCTGGGAGGCGGACATCTGGTTGGCCTGCTCGACTTGGGTAAGTCTGGCAGTGACCTTGGCCAGCTTCTCCTGGGACTCAGAGAGCATATCAGTTGACACGTGCAGGCGATACTCCAAACTCTTCACCTGGTCATTCCGCTCTGCTAGCCGTTTCTTTTGCTGGGCAATTTCACTGTTCAAGCGGGTCGACAACTTGTCGAATTCTGTGAGCTGCTCGTTTAGCTTGCTGATATCCTTCTCCATTATTAAGCGTTGATTCTCCAGCTCGATAATCCGTTCATGGGCTTCCGTCTGGGTTTGGCGCTCCGACAACGTTGCCAAATCGTCCTCGAGGGTGGCCAGCTGTACCTGGTGCTCGCGCTCTGCCTTTGTCATTCGCTCCTTGACTAGATAGATCTCCCGCTGCGCAGACTCCCTCTCGGCCACCAATTTAGCCGAGACTTCGGCGGCCTGTGACTCGAGAGCCGCCTTTGCCCGAGCCAGCTCCTCGGCCTGCTCATTGAGCAACTGCTCCGTGCGACTTGCATCGCTTTGCAGTTGAACCCTGGCCGAGTGCAGCTCATTCCGTTGCTCATCCAGCTCGGCTTTGAGTAGATCCGTAAGCTTCTGCTCGTCCTGAAGCCTAGTCTGCAGACTACGCATCTCAACTTCTGCCGAGTGCAGCTCCTTCTGTTTCTCATCTAGCTGGGCTTTGAGTTGATCTGTGAGCTCATGCTCTTCCTGAAGCTTAGCCTGCAGACTATGCGTCTCAACTTTTGCCATCTGCTGCTCCTTCTGGAAATCATTGGCATTGGACAGCTCTTCCTGTCCATCCTGAAGTTGAGTCTGTAGACTGAGCAACTCTTCCGCGGAGTTGTCAATTAGCTTCTGTTGTTCCGTCGGGGTCTTAGACTGCTTTAACTGCTCAATCTTAGTTTGATAGTTCGTTTCAATCTGTTTTATCAGAGTGTCAATCTCCTTTTCTCTCTCCAATTGCGCATCCCTAGCCCTGTTTAATTCATTACACATATCGGTCAATAACTGCTTGTGGGTCTCAATGGTCTGGCGGAGGGATTTCTCCGTGAGCTTGGACTGTTGTAGATCTTCCGTTACGTTTCCGTGGCTGGCAATGGTTTCGCGATGCTGCTGCTCCTGAAGGCGAACCTCTTCCAGCTCCTTTGCAATGGCGTTCAGGGCCAATTGCGAGGACTCCTTTAGTTGAGTTTCGAGCTCCTTGTAACGCTGTTCGTACTCTTTCTTCGCGGACTTCAACACTTGGTCATGCTCCTCATGCAATTTCAGGAGCTTGGCTTCATTTGCCTCCAGTTTACTTTGGAACATCTGTTGTTCCGTCGGGGTCTTAGACTGCTTTAACTGCTCAATCTTAACTTGGTATTCTGTTTCCATCTCTTTTATATGAGCCTTCAGAGTGTCAACCTCCTTTTCTCTCTCCAATCGCGCATCCCTAGCCCCGTTTAATTCATTACACATATCGTTCAATAACTGCTTGTGGGTCTCAATGGTCTGGCGGAGGGATTTCTCCGTGAGCTGGGACTGTTGTAGATCCTCCATTACGTTTACGTGGCTGGCAATGGTTTCGCGATGCTGCTGCTCCTGAAGGCGAACCTCTTCCAGCTCCTTTGCAATGGCGTTCAGGGCCAATTGCGAGGACTCCTTTAGTTGAGTTTCGAGATCCTTGTAACGCTGTTCGTACTCTTTCTTCGCGGACTTCAACACTTGGTCATGCTCCTCCTTCAATTTTAGGAGCTTGGCTTCATTTGCCTCCAGTTTACCTTTCAACTCCTCTTTCTCTATGTCACTTAGGGTGTCCTGCTCCTTGCTTAACTGTGAAACATCCTCCTTTTCCCCCGCCATCTCGTTCTCGAGGTTCTTGCAACGCTGCTCAGCAATCTCGGCTTTCAATTCATCAATCTGCCCTTGATACTTGAGCTCTAAGTTTGAGACCTCATCCTCTGCTGCCTTCAGTTGCTTCTGCAGTTTTTCTTTAACTTTTTGGGAATCGTACATCAGGGTAGCTTTTAGTGTTTCCATGTCCATTTGGCGGTTAAGCAGCTCAACATGGTCCGAGCTCAGCTTTTGGTTCACCCGCTCAAGGTTGGCGATGGTGTCCTTAAGTTGCTTAATCATGGGACTGTCCTGGCCGCTGCCAGACACCTGGCTCTGCAGTTGAGCCACTTGCTGCTCTAGATGCAGCTTGGACTCTTTGAGGTGATTGGCCAAGGAAGTGGCTCTACTGTACTTTAGCTCCAGGCTCTGGTGACTGGCATCCACCTCATCGTACATGCTCAGAAACTGGTGTACATGCTGTCGAAGCTCCTCAAAACTGTATTCATTGACGCCTTTCAGATGGCTGGAGACTGGATCTGCTTTGTGAAGACGCGCTTTAAGGGCGGCTGCCATTTTGATGGCATCCAATCTGTGGCCCCTCAGCTGCTCCTGAGCCCTGATCAGTTTGCCGGTCGCCTCCTCCAAATTGCTTCGCTCCTCCTCAAGATTCTGCTGCAGTTGGGCCACCTGCTGTCTGCTGCTGGCAATCTGGGCATCTTTTTGCTGGAGTGTAGTGCTCAGCTTGCCGGCAGTGAGCTCTAGGGAAGCGATGAACTCATTTCGCTTCTCCTCCTCACGGCTGGCTCTGATAGCCCATTGCCGGCTTTCGCAGACGATAACTGCATGCTCCTGCTTAACAACGGCCAGGTCATCCAGCAGATTTTTCACTTTCGCTTCAAGACTGTCGTTTGTTTTCTTTTGGTGCCCGAGTATCTCCTCGAGCCACGACTCAACCTCTTCGAAGCGATTGCTATTTCCCCCTGCCAAAAGCGAGAAGGTTTCGGAGCGGCCTTCATTTAAGAGACCCGTGATGCGCTTCAGGAAACTATCCGTCTCCTGCCGAAATTTGCAGTGATGCTCGAGCAGTTGCTCCTTCTCCTGCTCAAGTTTAAGCTGCTGCTCGAGCAATTGCTCCTTCTCCTGCTGAGATTTGCGTTGCTGCTCGAGCAGTTCCTTATTCTGCGCATCGTGCTGAAGTAGTCTGGACTCGATTTGCTCAGTGAACTCCACACTGCGCTTGCCCAACTCATCTCGTTGCTCACTGATCATGTTCAGCTCCTGCAGCTGCTGCTCACGCTGCTCCTCGCTCTGCTCAAGACGAATTCGCAGCTGCGTTGCCTCGCTCACCTGCTGCTCGTGCTCACGCTTGAGGGCTTCGTGCTGCTCCTCGCACTGTTCCAGACGAATCCGTAGCTCCGTTGCTTCGCTCACCTGCTGCTCGTGCTCAACCTTGAGGGCTTCGTGCTGCTCCTCGCTCTGCTCCAGACGAATCCGCAGCTCCGTTGCCTCGCTCACCTGCTGCTCGTGCTCACGCTTGAGGGCTTCGTGCTGCTCCTCGCACTGTTCCAGACGAATCCGCAGCTCCGTTGCTTCGCTCACCTGCTGCTCGTGCTCAACCTTGAGGGCTTCGTGCTGCTCCTCGCTCTGCTCCAGACGAATCCGCAGCTCCGTTGCCTCGCTCACCTGCTGCTCGTGCTCACGCTTGAGGGCTTTGTACTGCTCCTCGCTCTGCTCCAGACGAATCCACAGCTCCGTTGCCTCGCTCACCCGCTGCTCGTGCTCAAGCTTAAGGGCTTCGTGCTGCTCCTTCATCTCGCAAAGCTCGTCGATGCGTTGAAGCGTGCTCTGCCAGTCGGGCGAGCCCAGCTGGCAGGATAGCAGACCCATGTCCGCATTGTTAGAAATTAGCTGGTTCCGACACTGGGCATACTTGGCTCGCAAGTACTCCAGACAGCGCTGCTCCTGCTCTAAAAGTTTAGTGATTTCTTTGAAGTGTGCATCGAATTTGTCAATGCCACATTCAAGGGACTCCTTGGTGGCGCGCACCTCCAAGATTTCGGAACTCAATCTGTCCGCCTGCTGTTCTTTCACCGCCAGCTTTATCCTAATATTGGCCAGCTCACATTCCGTCGTGACCAACTTCTTGTTAAGCTCGTCGTGGCTTTGGATTACCCTTTGGTGGTCGGACTGCAACACTTGCAGCTTCACCTCGCACTCCCGTTGAATGCTGAACAATTTGCTGGCATGGTTACGGCTTGTTTGCACAGCCTCCTGCTCCAGCTCAGCAATCTTGGCCTTGGCCCCCGCAAGCTGTTGGCGCTGGCTCTCCAGACATTCGGCGAGTGTCTGACTTTTGTCCAGAAGTTTATCGAGATTCGAGGCCTGCTTGTCGCACTTCTCTTGCAGTTCAGAGTTCTCGGCCAACTCGTTAACGGAAATGCTGGTAATCAAGGGTGCAGAGATATCCTGATCGAGTTCATGCTTCCTAAGGAGGCTGGCCATAGATTCGGTCAACTGATGCAACGAAGCGTTCTGCTTCTGGAGCTCTTCCCTCAGCCGGACGTTCTCTTGCTCCTTTTCACGCAGCTGCTTGTCGATCACAGAGCTGGCCAGATTCTCCGGGGTGACGTTCGGCGACAAGGAACAGGTCAACAGATCGGAAGATGAGTTGAGCACCTCGCGCCGGCTGTGCAGCTCCTCGCGCGCCTCCTGAAGGCACAGATCCAGCTCCTGTTTGTCGCGCTCCAGGCTACTGATCGTATAATCCTTCTTTGACAGGGTTAGGCTGAGATCCTCCAGGCGTAATTCAAGCTCCCTCACGCGGTCCATGCATACCATAAGTTGTTCAGCCGACTGTTTGAGCTATGCAAACATAAATACATTGTCAATTACAAATTTGTACAAATTCGGACAAATATAAATACTATACAATTAATTAATATCCTTTTTTTTGCATTGTGTTACTCATTAATATACCCGAAATTTTATTTATACAAATGATTATCAGAGATAAGCTAAGTAACCTTTATGATACTTCATATTTTTTTAATTACCAACTTTTTTTCACGATTAAACAGAGTTATTTCTTCGGATTTCATATTTTTTCTCTTAGTATAGTCATATACTGGTGTTAATTTTCATTTATTATTAAAGCTTAACTTATGTAAAAGAGTGATGATTTAACTTATGTAAAAGAGTGATGATTTGATGACTTTTCAATTGCACATAAGCATCGAGTTAATGTGTCTGTTGAATTGTATTTTTAGTGGAGTCTTTGTATTAGGGAAAAAAGCACAATTGCTTTTTAGAGATTTGAAAACATATGCAGTACTAAATAATAGTGAAACCAAATAATCTTAAAAACTCTATTTAAAATCCTTTAAATAGGTGTACAGTTGCAGGCACACTTATATATTCGCAGTTGTTCACTTATATTCCGATTGTTTAAGGTCTTTACAACCAGACAGGTAGCTTACCTTTTCGGCCAGATCGGACTTTTCATTGTGCAAATCCTGCAGCTTATCGTTGGTCTCGGCTATAATTTCATCCTTGTGGCTGATCTCCTTCATGAGGCTTCGTTTCAACTGAAATGCGGTAAAGTTTTATTAGTTTATGGCACCCGCTACCTGTGACCATCTGGTGGTCCAGTCTACCTACGCGATCAAATTCATTTGGTCCAAAGTTGGGCACGACTTCGTCTTCGTCTGAAATTTGGGCGGCTTCCGTCATTTTGGCCATTTTAGCCTCCAGCGACTTATATGCTGTGATGTGAAAGAGGAAGAAAATATGGAATTCAACTTTGTATAAATAACTCGTATCACTCCTAAGGGCTATAACTATTCTGCTGGGATGACAAAAGTCACAATTTTTGAGTGGGGTATGGTAAAGTATCTTAAACATACATTTTTGCAGGTTTTTAATGATAGCATCCTTCTCCAAATTCTGCTCCTCGAGCAGGTTCTTCTCGTAGCGCTCCATATCCAGCTGAGATCGAAAACCGCGCAGCTCCCGGGTGCGACGATCCAAAAGCTCCGTCTTGGGAGTCGACGGAGCGGACATCTCGTTGACAGACATCTGGAGGTCTAGGCAATCCCGCTGCCTGTCGTGGTGGTGGTGCATACGCGGCGTGCTGCTTTGCGGTTGAGGGGAAGCTGGTGAGGATGAGGATGACGGTGTGACATCAACGTGCAGATTGGGACTCGAGGAGCTGCTGGGCGGGCACGGACTGTCTTGGGCGCCCAGTCGGTAAACGCTGGCCACATTGGCAATCGTCTGCCGTAGAAACTCCCGCGTCAGCTGCGGCTCCACCGTCATATTTAACAAGGCGGCAATGCAGGTCTGCATCAACTCCGGCAGCTTCTTGCAAATGCTGTGGAAGAACACGCTGGGCTGCTTCACGCACGAATAGTGCAGGAGCAGTGTGTACACGTATAGGTAGTCAGACTCCACCAGCTGCCCACGTCCACCTATGTGGGCACAGAACTCTGGATAGATTTCTGCAACGGCGATATCAGTGGGTTTGTTAATGGATACGTTAAGTAACTCAAGTATAGTCTTAACCATGGAGACAAACAATCATTAAACATTAAAATACTAATTTCAAAATACTAAAGTTTGGGTTCACATTGTATAGATTAAGATGAAAAGGGAAGGAAGTTAAAAGGTTTTTATATTGGAATGATCTATTTTTTGACTATTTGGACTTCGATATAGTTTAAAATGCACTCCTAAGCTGAATACAAATCTGATTGCAAGCCATGCCATTTAACGTAACTCAAATAAGTCTAACTTCTTTTTTAAAGCGGTATAATTGGTTATATTCCATTATCTGTTGTTGTTCATGGTTGTTATGTCTTAAAATAAGATCGTAAGATCGTGAGGAGATATTCGGGCCCATCCTAGCATTATTTATTTACCTCTTACAACATCCTTGGCAAGGATAACGCTTGCAAGATTGTATTCATAACTTTGATGACTAAAATAGTTGTATTTCTAAAAAATATGAACGGGGACGCAAACGCAAGATTGTCAAATATGTTAATTATGTTATACCAAATTATGCATTATCTAATAGTTATATATTTGGTCCTCATTGGTGGAATTTATTTGGAACTTTTTGAAAGTTTAGTAGATTCATATTTATTAAACTCTTCTGCTTTATGTCACGGAATAAAAATAACGAAATAATTTATCTTGAATTTGAGTTTAACTAAATGATACCAAAACTTTGACATATAGAAATAATCAAAATATGCTTAACGAGTACACCGGAATTTGGACGATTCTACTCCTGCAATCGCTTACCTCTAATGAATGCCTGCAAGGGAGAGCGGTGTTTCTTCCGCTGAACCTTCTGCGCCGCCTGCAGCGCCTTCTGCACCACTGCCTCCGCCTGCGCCCTTTGCACGTAGACCGCGAAGAAGGCCTCAATGTCCGTCTGCTCCAGTGTGATGTAGTTGGCCTCGATGAACTGGCATTCGCTCACCTGCCGGAGGGTCGCTTAATAAATGAACTGGGACCCGGCGGCGCCCGGCCCCCGGCTTGCGACATCCATTCACTTACCCATTGGAGCAGAACTTTCCGCCAGCTGCGCAAGTCCATGGTTTAGCAGCGTGCAAATGATTGGTGCAAAAATGTATGCCAAAATATGGATGAAAAAAAAACCAAAGGGCGAGCAACGGGACTTTTACCGAACAAAAAAACACTGCTGTACAATCGAAATAAACGGGATCTAGCTGAAAGCGTAACGCACGGAATTCTGACTTCAACTGACACGACACTATCACAAATTTTGACACTTACTTCACGACGAAAAACAGGGAAAGGAAAAAAAAACAGGACGGAGGCAAACACCTTTTTTCGGCGCGTCGTTTAATTCAAATGCGGACGCGGTGCGACGCCAAGCGAGGTGTTCCAGGTAGCCACCTATCGGGTCATCGATATCGATATGGTAGGTAGGGGTGTTCAGGCGGTTTGGTCGGAACAGATCGTTCGCACTGGCACAAACTTGCTGCTTTGTGTTATAAGAACAACTGATATTTTGTTATACTTGGAAAACAGTTAAGTCAAGTCGTCGAAACGCCAACTAGAGAACCAGATATAAAGCCAATCATTTTAAAGATCCTATTAACATAATTTGATTCTTACACTGTAGTTATGTCTTAATGTTTTTAAAAGTACGTTTTTTAAGTGTTCAAAAGTAATATTAAGAAATTAAGATATATTAATTATTTAATTATTATTAGATATCAATTCTAATGATTAAAATTTGAAAGCATTTTTTACAAATTTACTACATTTTTCGAAATATTTAGGTGTTTAGTTCCTTCAGAACTCTTATGCGCTAACACAGAAACGCTAAACACATATGACAGTGTGAACATTGAAATTCATGATACATTACGCATTAATTAATTAATTTTTGCTTGTTTTATTTGTGTTTGATTTTTGTTTCGTTTACTCTGGTTTTTCTGTATATTCCTATCGATATTTATACCATCGATATAGGCTAGCAGAGAAGTATCATGTTTCAAGAAAAGGTAGCGTACTATTTTTACGCTCCTATTTTACTGATCATGATGGACGAATTTTTGCATCATGATCAGTGATCATACCCGTTCAGCAGAACTATCGTAAGATATCCATCAGTGGTCATATTGTTCTGGTGAATACTCCCATTACTAATTTAATTGTAATAGCATAGTTACACTCACGTACGTTGACTGCCGATATCGGATAAGACGCAATGACGCAGAATTGCCGTTTATTCTTGACAGACGTGCTTCTCTGCGTCTGAAGAGCTGTTATAAGTTTTGATTTGTCAAAAAATGCTTAAGTTGTTTGTTGAAACGTGGACAAATTAACGCAAATGAACAGGGAATTTGTCTGTGTTGCGTGCAAAAATAAGTGCAATTATTAAACTTACAATTTTGTAATATTTACAATAAAAAAACGATTTGTTATATTAGTTTTTAATTCAAATAGGACCTGTATTTATTATCCCTATGTTATCTTTAGCAGGATAAACTCACCTTTTCTTTGTATGAAACCAGTTTTTGTTTATAAGCAGTTGCTTATAGCCCAGTTCCACAAAGCCCAACCAAGCGAAACGGTTGGGATTTTTGATGGATGGTGGACCATCCGCCATCCAACATCCATCACAGACACAAAGATGGCCGCCATGTGAATTCAAATTCATTCGCGCCAGGACTTTAGAGTTTCGCCGAAAAACATCGGCTAAATATCGGCTTAGAACGCGCGGTTAGAAACGTAAATTCCACCATCAAGGAATAACCGGAAATGTTTTGGCACGGCAAAATCTTACGGACCATCTTTGAAAGAGATGGTGGACTCAGTCGTTTAATGAATACCCAAAGTATATAAAGTGTTGGGGTGTTCATAGATACTTGACTCTAGTTACGTACCTAGGTACACTTTTTTGTTACCTTATGCCTCACCTAGGTAACAAAATAAGAGGCTACCTTTTACCTTGCCTAAGTAAAGATTTTAAATTATAAGGGATATGGCTTTACTTCAAATGAGCATCTATACCAATTAAATGTTGCAGCTAACAAATTGAGTATTAAAATACGATAAATATAAAACTATAAACTATAGTTCACTTGTGGGCTAATTTTAAAGAGTTAATTTTAAAACTAGTTAATGTCTAAACTCCATATTTGGTTTAAAAACTTCTGGAAAAAGTGATAATTGAACATTCTTCCTTCTTGAAGCTAATGTAAAAAAGCAACAGAGTCGAAAATCAAACAAAACCATGGTTATAGAAAAGTATCCCATAACTTTAAAACCACATTAATTAAACAATATGCACAGCCCGAAGAATTGAATATCTGGATTTTTTGCGCATAACTGAATACCCTGCCATGGAATGGAAATGTTAATCCATAAATTTAGTCTCTTTTATGTTTTTTTCCAGTTCATAGATGGCGGCACTGATCTTCGCGTAAACAATCAAGTGCTTCTGGTTCGGGGGGAATTCCGAAAAACCGGGGGCAGCCAGCGGCAGAGTGTGGCCCACCACATGTAAGCTATTAAACTGTAATAACAATTACCAATGACCGAAAACAATGTGCCCGGAATTAGCACCCACGCCCACTCCGTGTCTCAGGTCACGCACACGAGCACAGAAACATCTAGGGATAGTGCTGATCGCTATATGTATATAACGCCACCATTAATTCGGACAAACAATGGAAATGCATAATATACTATAGGAGGTGATTTTAACAAATAACACAAAATGTTTTCGTACAAGTTGATAAATAAAATATGCTATCAAATAATTGTTAAAAAATTAAATGGGAAGGTGGGACAAAGCTTTGAAACTGGCGATGACGAAAAAGTTTTCCAAAATAACTAGGATTTTTAAATAAAATGTTTGTTTTCGAATTCTAAACTAGACTATGTATATTAAAACCATTTTTGAGATCTGTGTTTTAATGTATATTTAAAAAAAATGTGTGTTTGTAAGCTGCTTGGCAAAAGTCGAAAAAATAAAATAAAAAAAATTGTTTCACTTTTAAATGGGTAACTAGCGGCAGCGGCCAGAAGCCAGATGGACAGCACTGTTCGCACAATACAATTCTCACGTATTTAGCATTGATTTCGATACGAAGATCGGATCGGATCATTTCCTTCCTTTGATTGCCGTCTATTTATAAAGGCGAATTTCCTGTTTATATTTTTTATAATACATTTATTTACGCGGTACAATTGGGAGGCCAGCCCTCCTACGACCCCAGATCTATGGCTCCGCTCTCACTCGCTTCTCGCCGGGATTGGTATTGGTATTGATGGTGCTCGAACTCGGACCCGTACTACAACCCGGACCCGGTCCGCCCGCCGAATCCGTACTGTCGCTCTGGGCCTCCACCAGCTTCACATGGGCTATGGTCTGGCCGAAGAGCTTCTGCCGAAAACTGGGCCTCTTGGGTGCTCCACGATGCACTCCGATCTCCGGATGGTGGTGATGGGGATGGTGATGATGATCCTCCCGATCTCCTGCGGGTCGCTCCTTGTGGCGGTGACGTCGCTGCTTCTTGCGATGCTCCCCATTTGGGAGCAGTTCGTTCACGTAGTGCAGTGTGCTCGATGCGCTGCCCGTGGAATCAGTGCCGGAGTGTCCAGGATGGGGATGCGATGGCGAATGCTTGGCGTGGCGAGCGTGTTTCTGCTCCAGTTCGATTTTGTTCTTCTGGGCCACCTCCTCGATGTGCCGCTCCTGCAAAATGGAAGAGCATCTCTGAGTGAACTCGGCCAGCAGTTGGCTCATTGGGCGTTGATCCTACAAACATGGCCCGCCTGTGCTTGTCCCGCTTGGCCAGGACGACCACCCAGGCGCCGTAGGAGAGCATGATGCCCGCCGGAACTAGGACGCCCGCCAGCGAGTTCTCCGACTTCCGCACGCAGGCGTGGTAAACGGCCAGGAAGAGCACTGCAAATTGGTGTCCACGGATGTGGATTAAATACACATGGGTTCGGGATTTACAGTCGCACTTCGCCAACACCAACCACTTTCGGCACTTTCGGGGCTTGGGCTCCCAAAAATAATTACACTTTTTACAAGGTATTATGTAGTACATCATTTACATATTTACACTCCAACCGAATGCGTGGGTCGGAATTTAGTTAAAAGAGATTTCTGGGTCATTCGAAAAAAAATTTTGTTAGTCATTTCAATTCTAATTTATTTAATCGTTAGTAAGTACAAAAAAACAGCTGTGACACAGAAATGTATTCGATTAAAATTCAAAAGGAATTGTTAGAACTGTTAGACCATCATATAATATTTACATTCCAACCACAGGGATTACTGTGTGACCAATGAAAATATCGGAAATTCTAGGTCACTCCGATATTTAAGGATATGCTTCTATATGCTTATATGGCACTGAAATCTCTTCCAACCAAATTCGGTTGGAATTGGTAAGGATGTAGGGCTTGTACATCTCTTTAAAATCACGGATTAAATGGTGTTTAATCAACTCAGGAAATAACTTTTGCTTATATTTTAATACTGTATATGAATTATTTTTAAAAGTGTTTACATATGGTATGTTTTATGTTCAATTACGAAAACTAAAGCTTATCTTTGAAATATATTTTAAAAACATTTCAAATTAATTTAACGTTATTCTAAATTTTAAAATGACGTATAAATCAAATTAGTTAGTCAATACCAATTATAAAAACATAGTTATATATTTTTGGACTACGTGTCGAGATAATGGGTTCGTGTGGGAAAAGTTTGACTTTTGTATATGCCATTACGTACCTAGAAAGCAGACGATGACGGCCACGAGCCGTCCGTTGGCCTTTCGTTCCTCCTGCAAAAGGACAACGGAAATGAGAAATTGAGGTCACCTAATTGGATGATTGTTCCTGGATGCAGTCGCACAATTTTCAGGGCTATTGGTGTCCCGCTCTTTCTGTTTTTGCGAGTGATGCCATAAAACCATTGTTTACAATTCCCACGTTCCATGCATATAGGCGCTTATACACAAGAGAAAAACAATAGACAAGCAACGCACTACACACTCCACAGTGGTTACTAGTAAGACAAAAACTACATTACAAATCTATTGGTTATTACAAATTCTGGTCTGTTAGTGAACCGCATACGATGCAAGCCCGTTTGGCAACCAATATTATTATAGCTCTCATTAAAAAATACAATCTTCACCAAAGACCTTGGTCCCAAATAGTTTGCCAGTCCAACATTGTTTAAAATTCCCTTCCTGACCATTAAATTTATTTTAATTGCACACAGGAATTCCAAAAAGAAAACCGAATATAAGTTTGATTGTCTTACACTTCATAAAATGGCGTAATACACATACGCCTCGAAATTGTGTGTATCTGGGAGATGTTCTTATTTCGTTTATCTGATCGCTATATGGACTTGACCAGAACCAAGCTTTTTTGTTGATAAAATTAACTATTTGTTATTGGTAAGTTTTGGAATTTTTTCAACAAAAATCTTTCCGTTTTCTCGGAACTTGGAATTTAATGAATATCAGATTAATATGCTAGTGTTTGTCGCAGATGTTAATTAACTAAAATGACTTATTCTTATCTATTAAACATAACTTTATACAACTTAACGTTTTTACACTTGAATCATTAAAACCATTTAAAATATATTTAAAACAATGGAAACGTATAGACTTTGGCGGTTTAAAACCTCCGTTCAAAAAATCAACCATAAAAAAATTGAATGAGGCTTAATAAACTTTAAAATATAAATCATTTTCGATATTCACTGTATGTGCAAAAGATCTAAAGCAAAACTATGGCAACATTTCGGGTTTTATGTCTGACACATTTGCGATTTGCTGGTAATGACGGCGCCACAAAACGATGGCGTCGTACAAACTTTGAGAGACGGCTGCAAATCTCTGCAAATCTGGTAGTCCAAAATATCCCTTATGACGTGCTCGTAAATCAAGGTGTTTCCGATGAATCACAGACACAGAAAAAAAACACTGAGACTATGTCCATATGCTCAATGATCACATTGAGAGTGTTTAGTCTGGTATTTTCACAAAAAAAAAACACTTTATCCGATTCAGTATCACACCCGATATCTGTATAAGGAGCCCGTAACCGGTTAATTAAATCCACACTATATTTAACAAGAAGAAACGCTGTAGATGAGTATCCTAATGCCCACTTTCAAAATAAAATATTCATTCATCTAGGTTTCATAAATTATCTAGCAGATGGCGTTTTCGACTGTATTATTTCCGCATATAAATACCGAAACTCTTTTCTAGTTGCTTTACAAACACATCAGGACTACTTAAAAAGTATCTTAGAATAAAGGTTACAACTTGTATCTTTTAGTTTCAGTGATTGGCAATATTAGCAAAATCTACATAGTTTCTTTGTGAGTGAAAAAGATTCATTATTTTGACCATTTCTTAGAATTCAAGAGCTTTAATTAACATATGTTGGTGACAGCCTTGAGAATTTATACAGTTTAAAAACCATTTTTAAATTTTTTTTTGTATTGTTTTTAAATAATTTCATTGTAGGTGAATAGAAGTAATAATTAAAGCAGCAAAAAATGTAAAGAAACTTTTAAAATGTTATTGTTCCTACACAAGAAATAAAAACGTTATATTAAAAACATCTTACATAGCTAAACTATTCCGGTTTCGAAAACCTTATCCCCAAAACTTACGCGCGACTTGAGGTCGAGGATCTCGTTGAGGTTCTCCTGGATTATCTCCTCGTCCGACATGGACGTGATGCTCTTCCTGGCCACCAGGGCGGTGAGTCCGTCCGGCGATTTGGGCACTGCCGGATTGGTGCTAACCGTGCTCGCTCTTCGCGGCATTACGGCCGGGAATTTGGGCTCCGGCTGGCGCCGTGGGGTATGAGAAATGGGGGTGGCCATGGGAAACTACTATACTGTGCGGCGGAATAAATGGCTTACGGACTAGTTCGGTTTTAATGGGCCGCAAGCGATCGATCGAGCGAATTCAAACGGAAAGCTCACACTTGGAATTTTGGAATGGAGATCGCGCCCGGCCAGCGATCAGGGATCGAGTGAGTAGCGAAATGGTTATAATGGTGGTCCCATCTCCTCGGACTTTCGGACTTCGGGCCTTTCTGCGGCCGAGCGAGCATTTGTTGTTAAGTGTATTCGAACCCAAAAACAATACGGCTGGGACGCCTTGTTTATTTACACTGCAGTAAATAATTCTCCGGCCGTGTGTGTGCCTGTGCCTATGCATGTGCCCCAAGTTCATAACGAATCGATGCGTATACACACCGACATCGACAGAAATATGCAGCAATTAAATTGTTTATTTTTATGCAAAACTTTCGTTTTGCAGTTTTTTCTGCCGCGTTGTGTGAATTTTGAAAATCGATAATCGATAGAAACTATCGGTTAAAGGCACGGATTCACTCAAACAAGAAATTAAGCGGTATCACACTGGATGCCAAACAATATATTGTGAAGTCTAGCAGCTCTGTAGCTCCGTATGACGACTAAATTATACATGATCTTTAAGTTGAAGTTTATGAGTGGAAAGCAGTTGAGATTTCTGACAAATGTAAAACTCCGATTCTCACATAGCACATCCACCATCCGAAAACATCTGATCGGAACAGCTGTGGCTTGTCAAAACATAAGCAAAGTCAACAGCTCAACCAATTTTATTTATGTATTGACATAAATTTTAGCATAATATAATATTTATAGTGAAAAAATTAAATACGTTTTCTGACTCACAATTTACATGTGTTTTTTGAAACGGAAATAAAGCAAATAGAGCTGCTGCCAGTGTAACCCTCGGACGATTTCCAGGGTGCATCTCCACAACTGTCCTCGATCATGGATCCGGAATCCAAAGCCCCGATCAGTTTTGTTCAAAGTTCGAAATTTAAAATCGTCGTTTTTGTAACGGCAATGAGGTGAAAACGTTTCGATGTGCCAAAAATCGATAAGCCGATATTTTGAAAGCCATCAGTGTGGCAAACATAGATATCAGCGTTGTTTTGAAAACATCGATGTGTTTCTCCACCTCTAAATCGTAATCGATTGTTTCTTTTGCCGCATCCCTGGTAAGAAATGTATCGCTTTTGTAGCCCTTGTTTATTTTTTATCGATTGACTTGTCGTACTCGATTGCTTGTTCGATAGTAGGCAACCAGGGCGACGAATCACGAATCCTCCACAGCCACAGCCGGCTAGCACTCGCTGCATAGGCATCCACATCTGCACCAGCAATTGCCCTGTCCCCTGTCGTCAGCAGTGAACAGAGAGCAGTTAGCAGTGAGCAGTGAGCAGCAGCCAACAGCAGGAGCACCTGCATCATGGCCCAATCCCATCGGGATCGGGAGCGTGGCTCCGGGCCACTGCCCAACCGCTGGCTTTACTGTCCGCGCAAGAGCGACTCCATCATCGCGGAACGCTTCCTGGCCTTCAAGACGCCCCTGAGCCAGAGCTTCCAGGACAAGATGCCCATCGAGTGCACCTTTCGACCCGAGATGCTCTTCGACTACTGCAAGACTCTGAAGGTAGTTAGCATTAGCCATTGGCATAGTAACCACATCATCATCAGCACCATCAACTAATCCCCACTTGTGTTGCAGCTGAAACTTGGCCTCTGGGTGGACCTGACCAACACGAAACGCTTCTACGATCGGTCGACGGTGGAGGAGCGCGGCGCCCAGTACATCAAGCTGCAGTGCCGCGGACACGGCGAAACACCCTCGCCGGAGCAGACGCACAGCTTCATCGAGATCGTGGACAACTTCATCAACGAGCGCCCCTTCGACGTCATCGCCGTCCACTGCACGCACGGCTTCAACCGCACCGGCTTCCTGATCGTCTCCTACATGGTCGAGCGGCTCGACTGCTCCGTGGAGGCAGCGCTGGCGGTGTTCGCCAACGCCCGGCCGCCGGGCATCTACAAGCAGGACTACATCAATGAGCTGTACAAGCGCTACGACGACGAGGAGGACGCGCCATCCGCGCCGGAGCAGCCCAACTGGTGTCTGGACTACGATGACAGCAACGGCGATGGCTCGGCGACGGACAGCCGGAAGCGGCACTTCGACGACAACAACAGCAGCTCCTCCTCCACATCGCAGCAGCATGCGGGAGAGCAGCAGGAGGATGAGGGCGAGGAGCTGGACGGAGACGAGGCGGACGGCGATGGCGATGCCTCCACGTCCGATGGACAGCCGCGCAAGAAGCGGCGCCGCGAGATGGTCGTAAAGAACGCCACCTTCATGGCCGGAGTGCCCGGCGTGCGACAGGTGAGCGACCAGCCGCGTTTGGGCGATCTGCAGCGCAAGGTGCAGGACTGGTGCCAGTGGAACAAAAACGGCTTCCCCGGCTCTCAGCCCGTGTCCATGGACACCAACAACATCAAGCGCCTCAGCGAGATACCCTACCGTGTGTCGTGGAAGGCGGACGGCACACGCTACATGATGCTCATCGACGGCCGGGACGAGGTGTACTTCTTCGATCGCAACCACTCCTGTTTCCAGGTGGAGAACGTGGCGTTTGTGGATGGCAAGAACCTAAACGACCACCTCGAGGGCACCCTGCTCGATGGGGTAAGCGGCAGCAATCGGCGTTTGAGGGAGCAAGATCTAATTGATTTGGGCGACCTTTGCAGGAAATGGTGCTGGACAAGATCGGCGAGACGGTTACGCCGCGCTACCTCGTCTACGATGTGGTGCGTATATCGCATCGCGATGTAAGGGACGAGCCATTCTATCCCAATCGACTGGACTACATAAAGAAGGATGTCATAGGTGAGTCATGGTCTCGTTAAACATTGGCTTGACCTACATAGCCATACGCACTTTATTCGCTCATTTAGAAATCGATCATCATATAAGGATTTATTCAGTTTGTTTAGCCCCTCTTGCTAGCCATAAGGTGTCATTGTTTTAATAGTTTATGATAACAATTAGAAGAGTTTAAATATTATGAACGAGATTTGTTTATGTAAGGAAAGTAATAATTTTATTTATGTTGTTGTCGATAGGGTTTGCTAAGATGGAAACAGGGTTTTCGGTAAGAAAAGATGTTGATTTGTTTTGGGAAAAGGTAGGGCAAGAGATTAGGATGTGTTGTATGTTTATGGGAATTATAATGTATATTTCTTATGATTTGTTAAGATAATAAAATTAAGGATTTATTTAGTTTGCTTAGAGCCTCTTGCTAGCCATAAATATGATTCATCCGAATTGATCATAGTGTTTATAATAAGCAAAGCAGATAGCATTTAAATGAAACCTTTCAATATGAACTATAGTGCCATATACATTTTTGTAGTTTATCGCCCAATTGCTGTCCCGTTTTCTTTGCCGAATGCAATAACCGATTGATGATTCTGCAGGTCCCCGCATCCTGGGCATGAAGCACGGCATCATCAACCAACGGCTGCAGGCTTTCAGTGTGCGCGGCAAGGACTTCTGGGACATTTGGATGTCCGCCCGTCTGCTGGGCGAGAAGTTCTCCCGGACGCTGGCCCACGAGCCGGATGGCCTCATCTTCCAGCCATCGCAGCAGCCGTACACGGCAGGTGTCTGCTCAGATGTCTTCAAGTGGAAGCCCCATGAGCTCAACTCGGTGGACTTTCGGCTCAAAATAATCACAGAGCGTGGCGAGGGGTGAGTTTGCTGGGGAGCGGCGTGGGCGGATGAATCCCCCATTGGATTGACTTGACTAATCCATGTCTCTTACCCAGCCTGCTCACCAAGAAGGTGGGCTTCCTCTATGTGGGTGGCCACGACGCCCCCTTCGGGCGAATGCAAAAGCTGACGAAGGAGATCCGTGACTTGGACAACAGGATCGTTGAGTGCACCATGAATCAGTTCGGCAACTGGGAGTTTATGCGCGAGCGCACAGACAAGAAGCATCCCAATAGCTACAATACAGCCCACTGTGAGTAGTAGCCAGCCCTTATATTTTCCAACTTTAAATAATGATAGCTGATAGAATGGTGCATTTTAAAAGCCAAATAATACATCTGCCGTGGCATAAAACAATATTGATTGTCGCTGGAGGCATATTCAAACATAGAATTCGACTGCTGTATAACACTGAATTTAAAAACCAAATAATTCATTTAGCCATGTAGATCTGGCTTTATTTAAAGATTAAAGATTCTCATTGGACGCATGGCGATGTATTGGAATAATAAAAAGTGTAGCAATTCACACTCCTCAAACCAACACAAATTAAGTTAACCCTCTCTTAATTTCGTTGCAGCCGTTGTGAAGAGCATAAAGCAACCCATTACTAAGGACTACCTATTAAATTATATCGCCACGTATGGCTTTCGTGATGACCATGCCATGATGCCGCCGCCGCCCAATGCACATCCGCACCCACAATCCCATGGGCATGGGCATGGGCATGGCCACCATGGCGGACCGCAGGGCCAGCGCCGGCCCCACTGAACGAACGCAGCTAGCCGCACCACACGCCTCATGTCTCCATCTCACCACTGAACTCGACACTAGGAAATTAAACAGCCCCAAATAAATCTAATTCAAAACAAGAATTACACTCAACTCTGTGTTGGCCGAAGAAACTGTTTGATTAATATGATTGTTGGGTTAGTTGGACTGAACAGTTGAACAACTGAAGAGGCTGATATTGTCCATTAATTCGTTAGTTGTTAAGCGTAGACCGACATAAACGCTATTCGAGACTTCTATTTTAAAAGAAATACTGTAATTATGAACGCTGCAAATTGAACACTTTTCTCTTGTCCAAAAAGTGTAAAAATACTCTATTTAATTACAAACACAATGGTGTAAAAATCGCAGTAGTCTTTTAGAAACAAAAGTTTCAAATGAAGATTATGGCCCTTGGTTTTATGTAGATAATATTTTAGTTATACTGTCCTGAGAAAAACAAAAAGTAACATTGGTCAAATTCAGATACATTACTAAGTTGGGTAACACATTTTAAAGAACAGACATATAATAAAAATAAAATATAGTGCAAATATTAAGAAAAGTGTTTAAACCAATGTTTTTAAGGGGAGGGAGTAGGGTTTTTTTAATTTTTGTTTTGTTTTTTTAGTCTTAATTTCGATTGCAGTGAAGTTGATAAAATTTTGGATATTTTTATACCGGCTCATAATTACTAATGTACTTATTTTTAAAAATTTTAATTTTTGATTTTATTTTCAAACAAAAAATTAACAGGTTTATTTCGCTTAAAGCCGGTTTATTCTTTTAAAATGTACCCAAAAAGTGCAAGGTTTTTAATTCGACTAACAGGCCACGTCGCTACCTGGTAAGTAATCGACGATATATTTCAGATGATCCAGTATCGAGTTTTGATGGGTTCCTCAATTTATTTGCTGCCATTACCGTGCTATTTAATATTTCTATATGCAAATTTAATATAATATTATTTAAATGTCGCTCTATTGTACCATTGGTATTTAAGAATAGATAAACTAACCGAACTCCACCCTTAAGGACTGTTCTCTTGATTTAAAAAGTACTACCACACATCCGTAACATTCTATTGGTTTCCTTTTATTGAAAAAATAAACATGTAATGAACCCAACGGAAGTAGCCCTATCAACACATAGTCTATTCGCAACACAAAAGGCATTTGCCATAATAATCATACAATTGAAGTCCTAACGAAGAGGTTGGTACATAGCCGAGTAGGTGTCCCTTAACACAAACAAGCAACAGATGCTGGGTTTCAGTTGAGTAGGCTGCCATTGTCGCGCAAGACCTCCGCCTCCAGCTGGCCGAGATGGAGGAGGGCCACCAGAGCGGCTCCCTGCTCCGCCTGCTTCTTGTTCTTCTCCCAGAAGGAGCTGCTGAACCGCTGGCCGTCGTAGCTGCAGATGGACCGGAACAGCTTGTCGCACTGCTGCGTCTCGTAGGCTGGCGGGGATTTGCCAGCCTTTCCTGAGTAAACGTAGAGTTGCGTCTTGGGCAGATGGTTATCTGCGGGGGAAACAATAGAAATAAGTATTAGTTATGCAATTGTGGTCCGAATAATATATTTCAATGGCAAAGTTTCGTTTCAAAAGAGTTATAGACTTCACTTTTATCAGTGAATTAAAGTTATGGAAATCTCTAAGTAGTTTGGTGAGAATTGTATTAGACAACGTCTTGAAAAATCCTTAAAAATGCTTTTGGCCTTAAGTGCACTTTTTTGAGTTATTTAAGTATTGCAAGTCTTTAATAAAGAACGTTTTCTTTAAGGCAACTGAAGGTTTCACCATCGAACACATAAATACATATATTTTCATACCGAAGTTTTAAATATCTCTGAATTTTTAAAGAAGGATTGGTTTTTAAACCGTCTTGAAAAATCCTATCGTTAAGGCACTTTCTAGTGAGTCATTGCATGTCTCTAATGTGGAATGCTTTCTTTTGGTGAAATTGAAAGTTATATTATAGAATATACTTGCCACTGGGATAGGTAGAGCGCAGGAAAGGCATATTCCGGCAAATGACGCCGGCGTACTCGTCCTCGATGGCATTCGCCGCCTGCTCCAGTTTCTGCCGCTTGGCCTGCGCCTCCGGCGGCTCGACCTCCGCCCGACCCGAGTTGCCCAGCGTCTTGAGCTCCCGCTGCTTCCGGCGGCAGTAGTCGCCCAGGTGCCAGATCTCGCAGATCTGCTGCAGCGTCTGGCACTGAAGGAATCGCTTGCCACGCGGCGTCTCCTGCAGCTCCTTGAGGATGCTCTGCACACAGTATTTGGCGTTGTGCGGTGCGTTGTCGTAGTCCACGCACAGGCGCAGGTACTTTTCGATCAGCTCGTCCATGGGCAGCAGGCCCTCCGGTCGGAAGATGCTCACATTGAGCTGGGCAGCCCGGGCCACCATCACGCTGGCGGCGCCGCATTCCACCTGGAACTTGCGCAGATCCTCGTGGCAGTGCATGCTCCTCGAACCGCCGTTGGCGATAATCGGAATGTCCACGGCCTGCGCCACGGCACGCAACACCTCGGGATGGGCAGGATGCTGGGGACGCTCGTCCCGCGTCCTGGCATGAATGCCAATGGCTGCAATGCCCGTGGCGGCCAGTTTCTGCACAAGGCCAATGGTGCCCGCCACATCCGGCAGGATACGTATTTTGCAGGTGACTGGAATGTCCAGGCCGGAGCACAGGGTGCGCAGAATCAGAGCCGCCTTGTCGGGATCGGAGAGCAGGGCGGCGCCCATGCCGCCCTTGATGGAGAACTCCTTGGGGCAGCCCATGTTGATGTCCAGTCCGGCTATGTCGCGCTGCAGCAGCTTGCCCACGGCTAGCGCTCGTCCCGCATCGCTGGTGCCCATCTGCAGGACCAGCCGGGAGGTTTCCTGGGCACAGGTGCGGAACACAATCGTTCCGTCCGAGGGATCCACAAAGTCCACCGTTCCCAGGGCAGCTGCAGATGTGAGGATCGGGGATTATTGGCTGGTTAGAACGAGCTGGGCATCCACTACTCACGGTTCGGTCTGCGAATGCTCTTGATCAGCTTGAGGTCCACCAGCTCCTCCGTGTACACGATATCCGCACCCATTTCCAGGGCCAGCAGGCGCATGGGCAGCGTGCCCACCCGCACCATGGGCGCCAGGATGAGCTTGTTGCGGTAGTCCAGTCGCTGGCGCGTCTTCATGCTCAGGGACTTCCTGAGAAAGGAGGGCAAAGGCGAAAATGGGATGCGATGCAGCATGGAGTGGAATCGCGGATTCAGCTGTTGCATGCCGTTGGGTTGGGAGGCCTGGCCACGAGACGACGGCGCGGCCTTTGCACGACACGACCAGCCATCATGCAATGTACGACTTTGGTCCGTCTTGCTCTTGTTGTTTTTTCCTGGGAAAGTTTACCTCTCTCGTATGGAAACTTTGGAAATTTAGTCAAATTGATTTAATCGCAAAATCGTCGCTTTTAGGAAAATATTATTTGTCAAATAATCTTTCCAGCTTTTATATACTCAGAAAACTCAAGAAAACTAAAAAAAAAAATTGATTAACGGTATCCATTTTTCATCGACAGCCCCATTTTGGAAGAACTTTTTACCTCAACTAGGTAAATAAAATAGTTAGTAATATTTAACATTCATAACTATTTATATTCAATGACCTTAAGAAAAATGTAAGCTAGGTGTTTAAAAATATTGCCGTACCTAAAGTTTTTTGTTTTCTTCTGTTTTCCTATTTATCAATATTAAAATTAGCCAAGCCTTGCTGCAACTTTAACAAAAAATGTTTTCTAAAATGTTGTACCGTTGTTAATCCTTTTACCTTACCTCGGTATTTATATTGGAAAATACTAGGTACCTTACCTAAATTCAAAATACTAGAACCTGTAAAAAAATAAATGGCAACACAAAAAATACATATTAATTTTCAAATTTTTGAGAAAAAGGAAATTAAGAAAATTAGTTTTTTTAATTCTGTCAATATAGAAATTTCAAGTGCCTCTAAAAATTATAACTATACCCATTACTTATTTACATATATAATTGATTAAAGAAAATTTGAAATAAGAACATCTTAAAAATAACGGTAACATTTATGGTATTTCTTAAAACTGCTACTGTATTTAATGGTATTTATTTTTGGACCAAATGGTATTTTTGATCGTTTTCGACACGGTCACACTCTGGCATTGTTGTTTTTACGAGCCAAAATTTTGTGTTGTGATTCTTTTTGCCAAAGAAATAGCAATAATAACCGGAGCCACCCAGCGGATTACCACCCCGCAACCAGCAGAGAGAGAGAGAGGGGCAAAGGTCAGAGGTCAGCGGACAGAGCAAAAGCGAGGCGCGTATAAAGCTGGAAGCCAAAGCGGACTGCGCAACTACTGACCATTAATTGGATTAGCATCCAAACCAAGCCAAAACAGTGACCAGACCAAAACAGAAAACCGGGAGCGCAAGCCATTGAGGTCTGGCCCAACAACGTGACACACCCACCCAAGGCCAGCCCAAGGACAGGACCACAATTACACTTGGCAGTCAGGAGGCTACAGCCAGCGCCAGCAGAAGGTGGAATCAGTGGAATCGAAATCGGGAGCAGGATCAGCCCCAGCGACTCTGGCTTGGTTATGCCCAACGCCAGTTCTGGTACGCTGGACGGGATCGGGCTCGGGATCGGGAATTGCTGGCGATCGACACACTGAGGCTGACCCACGGCCCGCGTCCAAGGCAACTGGCGCTGGCCATGTCTCTGCTGGCCTACGCAGAGGATCGCGATCCCGGGGAGTCCAGCGATACGGAGGCGGAGCAGGAGCAGGAGCCGGACGCACTGGTCGACTTCACGGCCATGCTGAGGCAGCGGCAGCGGGAGTACGGCGGATGGTTCGGTTGCGGCAGCAAGATGCAGGCGGAGCAGTCCGATCAGGGCTACTACCTGGAACAGTATGTGCTCGGGGTGCTGGACTTCAGTTCGCAGTACGGCATCGACTACAGCATCTCGTATACGGCGGCCAACGTGATTGGGCGGCCCACCAAGTTCCCCGCCTACGGCGACTATCCGGAGACCTTTCCCATGGTGAGTCGATCTGGTCCGTGCCCAACTCCGTTCCCCTTCAACTCTCGCCCGCAGCGCACCTACGGTGACTGGTGGCAGCGGGCTCCGTCGGCCACCCGGGAGATTCAGGCCCAGAATCTGCCAAAGCTGACCACGCACGACTACATTGGTAAGTACCACAGATCCCTAAAAGAATCCCCCAAAAACAATAAGAAGAAACGAAGAGTTAACAATTACGATTGATGTTAAATTGCCTAAGTTTATAGTTGTATTAAATTAAAGGCAACAACAGAATCTGTTTAACAACAATAGGAAGAAAGGACGAGTTAGCCATTACCATTGTTGTTGAATTGTCTTAATTAAATTAAATGTTTAAATACTTTTGCAGTTATATTGGCCAAACTAATAAAGGCTTCTCGGTTTGTTTTTTTTAAACAAAATCAATTAAACTGCTTTAAAAGATCAATATATTATTTTAAAGTACATATATTAGTTACCTTTTAGTAGTTTTTTATGAATTGTAAATATTGTATAGCTATATTTAAAAAGATCTGCTAAATAAGTGTCCTTTATCTGATTTTGTTTTAGCATTAAACATAATTGTAGTTATTCATTGTAATAAGTATAGTACATAAAATAACTATAAACAATGTTTATTTAAATGATATATTAAAGTTTGGATTTTTGATCAACATCGCTTTCAATTAAAAATTTTGGGTCAATTTTCACTAAAATTTGCATTTTTATCGAAAAATAACCCTTACAGATCAATTCAGTAGCTCAAATCTAAATTCGTCTACGCAGTTTTGTTCAAAGCGACTTAAAATGTAAAAGCTCAAACAAAAAATTTGAAACATTTTTAAGTTAACTAGTGCTTTAAAGGGATTACTTAAAAGCACTAGCTAAAATTGTATTAAACATTCATATTGCTAAAGGGTATGGACATCTCAACCGATTGGGTATCAAACTATATAAATTTACTTAATTATTATACTAATGCAGAGTGTATTATAAACAACATTACTTTAAAGATAACTTGAAGTATCTGCAAACTTAGTTTTATCGCATTTTTGTTGCTCAACTTACATTGAACATATTTTGTATAACATTGTATTTATACACAGTGCATTTATGTGTGAGTTAAAAGACGACAATTTCAGTACCAAATTTTTCTGAAAATCGGTAATAATCCAACTATAGAGTGAACATTTTTAAAAATAAATAATCATAGTAATTTAAATCGCATGTGCAAAATAGTGTAATCATGTTTGACAAAAATTCCAAATTAGTTGCATATAGTTTCCGTCTAAAACATTTAACATTTGCATTCTAGTCGTGTACTTTGAGGAGTTTGTGGTGCCGACGGAAGTGGCCATCTTTGAAACCTTCAATCCGGGCGCCGTGGTGCGCATCTGGGCTTACGGCCTGACCAAGCACTGGACATGTTTGTGGGAGGCCACGGAAAGCGACTTAGCCCGCCCGGCGTTGGATTCGCGTCGCTTTGCTCCGGCCCTCAAGAAGACCACGATGATAACAAAGTGGGTACTTGCAAACTGATGGAAAGTTTCGATCTTGTAAAATATATGTCGTTTATTACTTAAGTTTAAAGTCAGTCATTTAATACAATCGCTGATCAAAAAAAAAAATAGTCGTTTAATCTTTATCTGCCTTAGCAAAGGTTAGTTTATATTAGATTAATTATATAATTTTTGAGGATAGTTAAGTCTATTTTTCAATATAGTTCGTTTTTACGATTAAAGTAGAGTAATTTTGTTTTTAGAAGAGTTGGATTTTTATATATTTTAGGAAAAATAATAATTATTTATTATTTATTTTATTATCAGATGTAAGCTATGTTTGAAAAGTAATTATTCTTAGCCGTAAAACTAAAAAAACCCTTCAATCTGGCAGGTTTTATGAAATATATATATTAACATATTGACATAGACATTTAAAAGTCAGTTATATGCCATATTTGCAATCACCAATTCACCGACAATAACAATTCTAAAAGAAAAAGCGATATAGTCTTTTGATCTCTATTTGACTTAGCAAATATAAGTCTCTCTTAGATAAACATTGTCGTTTTTGAGTATAGTTTGTACGTATATTTTTTAAAAGTGTCTGATTATACGATTAAAGTAATATTATTTAATTTGTAAAAGAATAGGATATTTCTATAATTTAGGGGGAATGTTAAATATGTTTTTATTTATACAGTGCTGACCTATAGTTAAAGTTGGTTTAAGACATAGCAGCTAGATGGACATTGTTTAGCTTTTATTAAGCAGCAAGAAATTGCTTCCTTTCTAGTTTTATCTTAAAAAAAACTAATAAAAACCCTTTGCTTTGGCAGGACACTGCGCATCGACTTCAACCACAGTCGACTCAACTACTACACGGAGATCGATGCCATAATGCTGTGCGGTCGCACCGTCTCCAAAACGCAAAGTCTTTTCGGCAAGCAGCAGCAACGGATGCAGCATCAGCAGCAACAGCAGACGCAGAGGCAGGTGCTCGCATCCCCGCCAGCGGAGGCTACCGATCCACCTGCAACTGATGGCAGTGGCGGACCCATTAGCTACAAGTTGCGCACCCTGAAGTTCCAGCCCAATTGCCACGAGGATGGGGCCACCAAGCTGCACGACTTCATCAACAACGACCTGAGCCAGTTCCTGATGGACAACAGCGTGAAGGGAGGCGGCGACTTGGGGCCGCCGCATCCGCTGGCGTCACCACAAGTCTGCCTTACAGATCTGCCCTTCGAGATCTTACTGCGCATACTCAGCTACCTGGACTTGAAGTCCCTGTTTCGCGTGGGCCAGGTGTCGCGCACCTTCTACGACATCTCCACGCATCCGCTGCTCTACGCCGAGCTCAGCCTGAAGCCCTACTGGCATGTGGCCAGCTCCGAGCTGCTGTGCACGCTGGCCCGCCGGGCCACCATGTTGCGCAAGTTGGATCTGTCCTGGTGCGGCGGCCTTGGCAACGTTTCGCCCACCGAGTTTAAGAAGTGAGTTCGCGGAGGCAAGAGCTAAAGTATCGTACTCAACATATTCTTCCAGATTCCTGACCCAACGCGGCGATAATCTCACCCACCTGCGACTTAACTCCTGCAAGTTTCTCAATGCCAGCTGCATTGAAAACGTGGGCATAGTCTGTGATAACCTGATAGGTTTGTCCTCCCATTTATGAGTAATTAAATGTAGTAGTATTATAGTATACCTTATTTATAATAATCAAGGTATGGAAGGAACTTAAATTACAGTTTACACTGATAAATTACAATTATTTTTACACTTAACTCAGCAAAGATATACAAAGACATTAAAACATTAACAAAAAAGATTCAACATGATTCAAAGATATAATATATATGTTTTATTCCCCTCAGAGTTGAGCCTGCGCAACTGCGCCACTGATCCGCCGCTGCTGAACTTCTCCTGTCTTGCCAATCTCAAGAATCTGGAGCGTCTCGATCTCTTCCAAACGGCCTTTGAAACGGAACTTCTGCTCAGCATGCTCGAGGGCAACCGCAAACTGAAACACCTCAATCTTGGTAAGCTAAAAAGAGGAATGCAACCCATTAAATGTTATTTATACTTACTATATCTTGTAGCGTTTTGTGGTGTCTCGGTGAACATGGACAATGTGGCCGCCCACTTGGCCACCTACAATACGCAGTTGATCTCTTTGGACCTGTGGAAGGCGCACTTTTTGTCGGCCAGAGGACTACAATCGCTGGCGCGCCTTCATCAGTTGGAGGAACTCGATTTGGGCTGGTGGTAGGTCAATGTGCCCAGCAAATGCTGTGTTCCCTTGCCAATTGATGTGTCCTAATTCCAACCACACAGCCTGAGGGAAGCGTCGCTCGGAGACGGCCTGTTCCAGCTGCTGACCAACTGCCCCAAGCTGAAGAAGCTCTTCTTGTCGGCGGTGCGAGGAACCACCGAACGCGATCTCATGCATATTGCCGCCCTGGGCAAGAATCTGGAGCAACTGGACCTCATGGGCATTCTGAACATCACGCACGAACGTGCTTATGAGTGGGTATTCTTCATTAATTTCATACACTAGCATATAATACTAATTTTGTAGGATTTAAACTTTCTACCATGCAATTTTGTATAAGTTCACTAATCAAATTAAACAATAGTTCGGATTTTGTACTAGTATATAATTTAGTATGCTGTTTTTAACTGAATTCAAAACTTATTTTGTACATAGTTCATAGCAACTATATTCAATCAGTTTCAGAGATCTGAAAATGAATTCTTTGTATACAGTATTTTATATGTGTTTACAAATCAAAGTTTTAAAAAAGCTATGGATTTCAGACTTTATGTTCTGCAGTTTCTAATGGAAAGATTGGAAGAAAGAAAGCCGTAATAATCATTTTTTAACCGAATTCGAAACGATTTTTTTGGTTTAATTTTGTATATAATCGATCTACAGACATTAGTTTAGCTTTTTAAAACCAAATATAGTTAACTAAGGTGGTTTGATGATATTATTTTTATTTTTAATCTATTTATTTATTAAACATTTTTGCAACATTCGATTTTATTTCAGCATTCTGGTTCACTGCCCCAAACTTCAATTGCTCGACCTGAGTTTCTGCGATAATATTATGGATCGGGATGTGAGTTAGAGTTAACTGATCACCCCATTTGCATCTAAAGCTAACAAATTTCTATCTTCAGTTCGATTTGCTGGCGGAATGGTCGCGTCAGTTCAACGTGGATATAAAGAGCAGCCGGCGTTACTAGCCCAGAATTTGGGGAATCTGGAATTGGGCGATGCAGTCCTAGTAGCTATTATTTATGGTTCCATGATAAGTGTACTTTTAGATTCTATATATATATGTGTCACTCTCTCTCTCTGTTTATAGTAAAATGTTATATATCTACTGTTATAAATATGAAACATTTGATATTAAACGATTTAAAGATCATTTAAGGCACTTCATTGCATGCTTTACGGATATTCTTATTATTTTTCAGTTTTAGAAGCCGGAAATAAATGACAAGGATGGAAGGTCTTCGTATATTTCACCTATTGCAAACATGGCTTTCTAGTTTTTCCACATCTCCAATGATTATCTTAATTTATCCAAATAAAACCAAAATTGTTCTTTAATAAACGTTCACTTAAGTCAATAATAAGAATGAAGATTTCCAATAATTTGAAACATAGTTTTGATCACTGATATTATAGAGCAGCTAGAAAGACGGCTACGAGCATTGAACAGCGTATTTTGGGTTTATATATATTTAATTGAATTTTGAATATTTACCTCTTTTAAACCTATAAAGGTTGTATAGGTAATGTTGCATAGATAAATGTATGACAAATAAATAAAAATAAATACAAACTATTTTTCTTTAACTCTAACTCTCTTTGAAACTCGAATTTTGCATAATATATACGAATTTCCGTTTTAGTAAATGGAGTATTTAAAATCCGATAACATGTTCTCCCTCAATGCTTTGCGATATCGCATTTTGCAATAAGAATGAGAGAAAAACATCGATATTTTGGCGGAAAATATAAACGTTCTATAGATGTTTGAATAAAATTTAAAAATATACATTTCTTCAGCCGATTCGAAATGCAACTTTAACATTGTTGTAGCTAAAGACACAAGAAGGTAAACGGTACAAGCATTTTCTTTCAAAACAAAGAAACAAAGTAAGTATGTCCACACCCGTTTTTTCCAACCGATATTATTTTCTTAAACACATAAAACATTTGTATTCGTTACTTTTCATGTATTAGTTCAAAGAAAAAAGGTTTTGATTAATACTGGGTTTTTCTTTCATTAGTATAATAAATGAAGTAAACATTTAATTTTTGGTGTTCAGAAATTAACCATTCGTTGGCTGCTGTTCTTGTTCTTTAAGAACAAGTATTGTTTCATGTTTTTTTCTTCAGGTAAATTAGTAAAAAGGTATATAAGCTGTGGCCATCATATCAAAGCCCGTTTACCCACCAACTTTCAAATGAATATATGATAACTATTTTGGCCGTTTGCAACATGCAGCCTAACTTGAAGTTGAGTAAACGGGCCTCAATAGAGCTACAGACAGCCGACAATGGAATGAAATGGTTTTGATGTTGATTGTTTTGCTTTAAAGCATTACCCACAGGTGGGTATAAGGTAAGGATTTTAAAATTAACATCGGTGGAGAATCTTTGCGTGGCATTCGGGACTTCGAATGGCGCGCTCCACACAGTTTGTGCTCCGCGTTTTTCATTGTCGGAGCAAAAGTAGTTTCTCTTCCTAGCTGACGGCTCACAAGGGCACCTTGCGGTGATTTCTCTTAGTTCCTCGTGCCGTGGCCTGAATGCATTTCTTGGGCGGAGCAGAGGTAGAGGGTGTTTCTTCGTCCACCTGAGGGCCCATTTGGGTTACTTGTTGCGACGGTCCGGCTTGAGAGTTCGGTGATTCGTTCTCATTGTTCTCGGGTGGCGAGGTTTGATCCTGCGCGATGGTTTCACCTACATCCTGACCGTTGGGATTTATTGGCTGCTGGGTGGTTAGCCCGGGCAGATGGGACAACTCGCCCGGATGGTTTCGCACGGTCACCGACTCCGTACAGTCGATTGAATGGTTTAGGACAGGCACAATGTTGCCCAGTTCGAGCGTGTTTGGACGATGTGAAATAACAATGAACTGGGTGTGCTTCATAAATTTCTAGCAAATAATATATTGCTAACAATGAAACTATAAGTAGCTACAAAAAAAATGATAATATATATATATATATATATAGCTCTAAACACTATAATTTATGTAAGTATCTTGGTAAAGCGGAAGACTTGTGCTTACTCGGTCTCCTTGCGGAATGCGGCCTCCATCTCGACCCGTTGCTATCTGAGGGCAGCAGTTCCATTGTCGTGGGTTTCCATCTCTACCACGAACGTTTCGTGCTCCTTGCTGTACTGCTGCAGCTTGGTCCTCTCGATGGCTGATCCATCCTCTGCTGCATAGAGCAAACATAGTGTTGAGTGCCCACAATCTCCTCCAGATACTCCAGCATTCCCGTTTCGTTTTCCGTCTACCCCTTTGGCTTCATCATGGCAATGGACTCCACTTCGGTGTCCAGGACGAGAAAGCGACTGTGCACCAGATCCACATTGTGGTGCCGTAGCAGTTTGGCCACATCTTTGAACTGGGCCCGCTTTCCGTTGATCACGTAGTACGAGGAGTTGTCCTACTTGGCTATGCGTTCGATGACAATGCCGGAGTTCGGCACATCCTCGCAGCTGCCGTCGGCCCGGTCCACAACCACTTCCACCGAGCAACTCTCGACATTGCGAAATTTCGAGGACGAGTGGATCACGGCTGCGATGCGATTGCAGCGTATGCGGGTCGCACGGCAGCCAAAGACGAACATCAGGGAGTCGATGATGTTGCTCTTGCCGCTGCCATTCGGTCCAATGATGAACGTCAAACTCTGGTCAAACGGTCCCACATACACTTCGCCGGCAAAGCTCTTGAAACTATTTATCAAAACACTCGCGATGATCAGCCGTGGTCCCGCGCTCACCATGGAGCAATCTGGCGGCACAGGAACGCCATCCTCGTCAAAGGAGAACAGGGCATCGTTCATGGTGTGCTTGGCAGTAAAGTAGTCCATGGCGGCCATAGCTTCATTCATGGTGGCCTTGCCGGCGTCATCCTTCTGCTCTTGCTCTTGCTGGGCTCGCATTTGCTGCTGGGCAGTTGGTTGCGGCACTTGAACCTGACCGCGCGGACGTCCCCTCTGGGCTCCCTTCGGCGTGCCCTTGCTGTTATTCGCCTTATGCATTTTTTCCTCTTTTTCAAAACTAAACCAACTTGCTTGTATATCAGGCGCCAAAGAAAATTTGGAAGTAGTGGTGACAGAGTCGAAGTCATCAAAGCTTGCAAAAAATTGGTGATATCGATGCTTGGCGATGCGGTGCAGCATCGATGTTCTTCCATCTCTAACGTGTCTCTGCTTACAGCGGTGTGTGTATCCGCTAAATAACAGTAACAGTTCTGTTAGGAAAACTTTATTTCCATAACATTTCTGTTAGGAAACTCAAGAGCTTCGCAACCGAATTTTTCTGGCATCGATTGTTGGATTCGATTTATTTTCACATCAAACGAGTAATCAATCTAACATTTATGCTTGGAAAACTATGATTTTTAACATTTCTGTTGGTAAAATAATGGTGATTGCTTTTTAACATTTCTGTTGGGAAATCGATCGTTATCAATCTAACATTTCTTTTAGAAAAATGATGATTTAAACAGAAATGTTATCGTTAAATTTTTAAATTCTAGGTGGGGAGTCCAAGTTCTCAACCACCGAAGTTCTCAACCACTAAAGTTCTCAACCACCAAAGGTTTAGACCACCAAAGTTCACAACCACCGAAGATCTCAACCACTTCACCAATCGATGCTGGCATCGATGTTGGCATCGATTCCCCCACCCCCCTCTGAAGTAAAACAGCAGCGCAGGCTGCTTATCTACTAAATGTAATTAATTTGCTTATTATTGAAACAATTGTCGAGATTACTAGCCTGAGGCAGACAATCCGGCGTATGAGCCAGTCCGTTGGCCAGCAGGAGCAGCCAGTGAGTGAGGGGGAGAGAGAGGGGAAGTGGCATTCGCAAAAAACAGCTGGACACAAACAGCAGCAGCAGCAACAACAATAACAAGGCAGTAACGAGGTCGCAGGACCGAAAAAAGAAAAAGGAGGCGCAGGAGTAGGAGGTGTGTATGTGTACCCACTGGCACGCCCACTGCGCAGTCCCACGCCCACTGCGCCCCATATCCACTGGGCACGTACACACATATCTTGCAAGTGCCGTGAATAATTGATGTGGCTGTTTGCTGTGTGCCGTGGGCTGCGGACTGCGGACTGAGGCGTGCCCGCCCATCTATGGAGCCACTAATCGATTGGGCTGATCCCATCCAGGCTGTTGCCATCAGCACATCGCCATGCGCTTTAACAAGTCGGAGCTAAACACACTGGCCAGCAATCCAGCAACCCGGTTCGACAAGGAGGGCCTGCTCATCATCATCGACCGGCAGGAGGGCTTCCTGTGGCGCTCCAGCGAAGGTATGCCCTGATTACCGACACCCATTAGCTAGGCTGCACAACCATTCCAGCTGGCACCTGCACCCACAACCACAATCACAACCACTTCATCCTGTCCTGACCTGTCCTGTTCAGTCCTGTTCAGTCCAGGCACACACTTGGCTTATGCACACACTTCATTCTCCCGCCCACAGTCAGAGTTGAACGTTGGTGTAAACTGCGTGGCAATTTACTGTTCTACCTCAAGGATAAGGACCCCAAGTCCGCGGTGGCCGGCCTCCTGGTGCTGGAGAATTGTCGTCCGCGCATACAGAACGAGGAGCGTGACCCGGAGGGCTACATTTTCGATCTAGGTGAGTGGTGGCCTTTAATGTTTTGCCCAGACTAATTGCTTTTCGATGACAGACTTCAAGGACGGCTTGTCGGAGCGGTTTATCAGCCGCTCGTCGGCCGAACGTCTGGCCTGGGTGCACTGCATCGAACAGGCCTCCAGCGAGAAGCTGAACCTGCTCATCCGCCAGCTAAAGGATCAGATTGTTATCAAGAGCCGGCAGTTAAACGGCCCGGGAATGGGCAATCACATTGATCTGGGCATGCCCCTCGAGCAGCAGGTGCAGGAGCAGATACAGCTGCACCAGCAGCAGCAGCAGGTCCAACCAGCGGAGGAGCAGGTCCAACCAGCGCCCCCCTTGGAGGCGGCAACGACGGCGCCGTTTGAAGGTGATCTTATACAGTTCTAACCCAACCCAAACCAAACAAAACAAAAAAACCAAACAATCAGCCAAGGAGCGCGGAGATCGTTATTGTTTCTGTTCTGTTAACCAAATCCTAAATATTCGCCCAACCAACCGCACCTGCACTCCCACCCTCTCGCTCATTTCCACGCACCCACATCCGGTTCATAGTCATTAGATGCCATATAATCGCTTCATCCGCAAACATTCTGCATATACACACATGATTAAATTTTGTATGTGGTATATGTTGGTATATCTAATCGTAACCGGAGATGGGTGACGAATGAACGGAAACGTTTAAGGTTTCGCTCTCCTTTATTGAATTTATATGTTGTATATTTAAGTTTAATCCAAATGGCAATTGGATATGGAATTTAATCCATCTGATGGAACTGAAAAAGATGAATTTATTCTTGGAATAAACTTTGTTTTGCTAATGAATTTAAACGGAACTAACTGTTGTTTGTTATTTAATCCCACCCGCGTTGCCCAGCCGCCCCGAATGAATGCCTCTGCAGTGTGCTCACCTGGTCTCTACGCTTCTTCTACTTGCAGAAATCGATCTCTCGGAGCTGCCCATTTGCGAGACGGCCCTCTCCTGTGATACCCTGCCCCTGGACGCTGTGGGGCGACCGCCCAATCCGCAGGTGGTGTGCTCGCTGCTGCCCGCGGCTGGAGAGGATTGCCTGTGGCGGGAGCACGCCCGCACCGAGCTGCAGGAGCGGACACGCAGCCCGCAGTTCCTGTGCACCATGCGCTTCCAGCGCAGCGCCGGCTTCTCCGCCGCCACGCGTCTTCGCTTCAGCGTCCTCGATGTCCGCGAGCGGATGACGCTCACCGCCCTGCCGCTGGGCCATGCCGAGGTGGCCCTGGGCGTCATCCAGGATACCAGCCGGCTGCGTCTGCCACTCACGTCGCCGCGTGGCGAGTGCGGCTTCATCACGCTGGCCTCCTGGTCGCCCGACGCCGCCGTGGAGCCCGGCCAGTCGGGAAACGGGCCGCCGCGATCCAGCACCCAGCTCTTCGAGGGATCAGGCGCCGCCACAGGTGCCACCACCGGGAGCAGCAGGCGAGGTAAGAAGTGCAGGGTTTTGCAGTCATGTGTACATAATAGAGCCCTGCCGAAATTATCAGAATACTTCAATAGGGTAATTTTCTCAGGGACGAACCTTTTAAAACGCGAATTCTTCAGTTTCTATTAGAGTCGTTCATAAAGTATAACGTCTTAAATAAATAACAATTGATTCTAAAAGAGCAGCAGGCGAGGTGAAAAGCGGAGGAGTTATATGTACATAATATATATACCCCAAGGAAAGGTTTATTTACTTTGGCAGAAAACATTTTAAAACGCGAAATCTTTAGTTTTTGTAAGAGTCGTTCATAAATTCTGACGCTTTTAACCAAATAATGGTTGGTTCTACCTAATAACAATTAAAAACGATAATTCCTCAGACTGCATTTAGTATGTGACAATGTCACTAAATGGCGTTGATTGCAATCTTCAGACTATATTTAGAATATATATGATTGGTTCTATAAGAACTCTGGAGCTAAAAAAAATCCCATTATCTTAAAAACAAAAAATTTTAAATGCGATTATAAAGTAAGACGTTTTACTAAATGTCGTTTGGTAATACCAGAACCTATAAGACCCCATTATAGAAATAACAGCACAAACCAATGCTGATAATGTTATAATCATTTAAATAATTTTAAAATATGAAACATAGTATCATACCATATATTATTGTTTAAAATGCTTTGTATAATTTAAACACTTAATCATTACAGTATATGAATCATACTGATGTGATACCATGGGTGTCACAGAAATCCCTGAAAAATTGGTCGTTATTCCAAAATTTCAGGCTTTTGAAATAATTTTTTCAACCCTATAAAGGAATATAAAATATTTGTTAAACATTTTAAAGGTTTCTGGGAACACCAACATTTGAGTTTGGGTTAGAATATGTGATTTCTGGAATATCTTACGCTCGTGATACCAAAATTTAAACGGAATTTAATGGATAGTGCATTTATTTTACAATTGTGAAACAATTTTTTCCAACTCTATGGAGTGATTTAAAATATTTACTTAAAATTAAAAAAGGGTTTCTGGGAACACCAACGTTTGAGTTTGGGTTAGAAAAGGAGATATCTTACGCCATTGTATAAACATTTGATTATTTAAGTAATGATCGTTGAGAGTTACTACTGTACCATATAGACCTTACTGACATACTGATTATTTATCATCCTATCTACAGCCCATCGCCGCACCCAGTCGTTGCCGCCGAAGCTGGGCGTCCGCTTGTTTGTGCCCCAGCAGTGTGGCCTGCAGCGGGTGTGCTGCAATCCCCGCCTGCGCACCTACCGCCTCCACTCGTCGCTGGGTGCGGACATCAGTGTGCAGGAGACGCTGCTGGAGGCGCGCCTGTGCTGCCTGCTGCCCCAGCAGCTGCTCTCCATCTGGATACAGCGCGAGAAGGAGCTGCTGCAGGAGATCTCCGGCATGGGCGAGCTGAGCGGCGAGTGGCGCTGGCGGCAGATGAACCTGCTCGAGGAGCACCTGCGCCTGCTCAAGGACTACTCGCAGGCCAAGCAGAACATCCAGCAGCTGGCCCGCGACGGCGTCTCCTTCAAGCGCTCCTCGGCGAAGGCGGACGAGGCGCTGGAGTTCCTGCCGGTCAACCTGCACGTCCAGCGGATGTGGGCCCAGAACGATACAATGCAGCGGCGCGGCCTCCTCGACGTCGTCACCGTGGGCGCCTTCACGCGCCACGATGCCAAGGGACGCAAGTGCGGTGGCCTCATCAAGTGAGTGAAATTTTCCAAATGTAATCAAAAAATCAATCACTTAAAATGGCCCATCAAAAAGCAATCAAATATTTGGCCAACCCATTCATTTCCTACAAGAATTAAACATTTTTATTTTTCTTAGAATAATTAATAGGTATTTTTTACAAAAAAAGAAATTATAACTATATAAAATTATTATTTTATTCAAATTTTTTTTTCTGAAGAAAAACCGGCTTTTTAAACTTAGGCTTCTGTGTGCAGATAAATTTATCAAGAATAATCATTATATATATTTTTTTGTGTTAATAATTATTATTCTGGAAGAGCTTTAAAAAATAGTACCAATCGGAAAAATAAATCGACTTCATTGATTTTAAACATTAATTCAAAACATATTCGTTTTATATAATATTTTATAATATTTAAATTAGATAAGAAAAAAATTAAAATGTATTCAAATATTAAAAAGAAACGTAAACCTAAATGTTAGTTTCACACATTGCTGAACTATTTATATCCAGATATCCCAAGTAAATGTAATTAAAACTGTCGAGTTGAAGGCCTTTTACCAGCTTTAGATTAAACCATTTTTTAGCTCTCTGTTTCGATAGTATAAATTAAAATAAATAAATTAATTTATATGTCGTCCGCAGGCTGCTGCAGGAGAGCAAGTCGTGGAAGCTGGAGCAGAGCAACGCGTGCAAGGTGCAGGCGGCCAACGACGCGGTGCAGGCCACCAAGCAGCTGCGCAAGGAGATCGTCGAGCTGATGTCCCAGCTGCTCCAATTGGCCGGGCGGCGGAGCTCCAAGGACATGATGCCGCTGTGCAACCAGATGGTGGCCCGCACCCGCACGCTGCTCAACATCTGGGAGCCGAGCATCGTCGAGGAGGCGGTGGCCTTCATCGAGCGCCATCGCATCATCGAGGAGCCGGAGAACGTGCTGATGGAGCCGATGTCGCCGTTCCGCAAGATCACCCAGCAGCTGACGGCCCTCGAACTGAAGTCGCCGGAGCTGGAGGACTTTGCCACGCCGGTGGTGGCACCTCCGGACCTCTGGCCACGCGGCCAGCCACCGCTGATGCGCTCCAACAGCTGGCATCCGAGCAACAGCTCTCCGTCCAGCTCGCTGGACATTCGGGCCATCGACTCGCTGCAGCATGTGGTCAAGTGCTATAATGATCACTTGCGCAGCCTGGAGCAGGGCAGGAATCCCCGCCAAATGGAGGCGGAGGAGGCCACATATCAGTCGCTGCCGCTGGCCTGGCAATCCACACAAGTTTCGGATGCCCCAGCCCAACCATCTGTGCTGCAGCTCATCGATCTGGACGAGATCGGGCGACAGGCACAGCGGCAGGAGCGACAGGAACGACAGCAGCGGCATCAACAGCCGCCGGCCGGCTTCCTGGACACCAAGCTGATGAGCTCCTCGCCGTCGGCCAACTACTACCGGCCCACGGAGGAGCCGGAGCCCCTGGATCTCACCCAGTTGAACATCGAGGCCAGCGTGATGTGCCTGGTCAGCAAACTGAAGTTCTTCTGCGGCCGCTGCGACAGTCCGGCCATTCGGCTGCGTCACCCCAAAGTGCCCATCAAGCGGGAGGGCTTCGCGGTGGCCCCGCAACAGGCGCCGGATGTGATAGCCGCCCAAGCAGCACCCCAGCTCGACCTGGCCACCAAGCCATCAGGCTCCGTCTCCGTCCAGGGGAGTGCCTCTGATCTGCCCGTGGACACTGGCTTAGCTGTGAGGAAGGGCAACAAGTTCACCGACGGCCTGGACCTCTCGATGACCACGGATTGGGCGGCCGAGCTGCGGCCGAGCATGCGCAAGCTGCGCCACGCCATGGACCGCCTGCTGAAGACCGCCCGGCTGATGCACTCGGTGCAGCGACTGCAGCAGGATATGCGCTGCAACCGGCTCCAGGCGAGCATCACCTACCGCAGGGACGTCTGCTTCTCCCAGGCGGTAAGGATTAAGATTCCTTTTTTTTTTTTGGCAGTGCTGGGTGGTAGATACTAGATACTTTTGCCTGGGCAAAGTTGCGCTCAAAATAATAGTGGTTTTTTTTTTTGGCTAACGGAAAAAGCAATCGAAAATAGTCTGGAAGCAAGTTTTCAAACACTTGTTTGTATTTCCGAGGAAAATATTTTTTTAAAAAATTTAAATAATGGTTATAAAATCATTTACTACAGTATGCATTACTACAGTGAATTTAAAGAAATCATTATCAGTACTAGTTATTTTTTAGCTTATGGAAACAACAATCGACAATAGTTTGGGAGCAAGTTTTGTTTGTACTTGTTTGTATTTTCGTGAAGTTAATACTATACTATTAACACGATGAGGCAAATATAAAAATATACATTTAAAAAATTTTATTATTTTTTTTTTACTGATAATTTTAAAAAAAAAATATTTTTTAAACTTATTAAATAGTTGTTGGTAAATCATTTACTACACTATACATTACTATAATGAATTTAAAGAAATCATTAATTTTCCTTGAATAACTAAAACAGTATCAATGAAATCATTATCAATATTAGAAGTTTTTTAGCTTATGGTAATAGTTTTGAAGAGAGTCTTTAAAAAATACTTGTTTTATTTTGTATTTTTGTGTAGCATATACTATTTACTCAATGGGGCAAATATTAAAATACACTTTTACAGTAGGTATAATATCTATCAATATTTCTAAAAAAAAAAAGCTTGATAAAAAAAATGTTTTTTAAACTTATACTTATTGCATTTTATATACCTTAGGAAAAAGCTGAGCTAGGTTATTTAGGTTCTAAAAAGTTTTTATTTATTTTTGTTTTAAAATTAGCTTGATAACACTAAATTATATTTTTATTCTTCTCGTATATGTTAATGCGAATAAAAATTGAAGATTACTATCGTGGTAGTTTTCAGTGAGTTTATGAAAACCTCACACTGAACGCCTTCTTAGAGGAGAAATCAATATTTTTCTGAGCTTAAGAATTCGCTATATTTATCGTTTTAAAAATCCTTTATTGCTTGTGGTTTTGTAACCAAAATGTTAAAAACCAAAATGTGTTGGAAATTGGCCAACAAATATTAATTTCTTAAAGATGCAAGCAAGTAACGTAGGTTACTGGTCAGTTTTCCGTGTTTTCCAATGACTATGTCCAATTGATTCTTGTGGAAAACTCACACCGAACTCCTTCTCACTTCCAGCTAACCGCTCTGGTCAGCTCCCTGATGCTGCGGCTGTGGGGCAGCGAGCTGGACATGGGCTATCTGGTGATGCTGCGCGACCTGGGCCCCCTGGCCTACTTCGAGGGTCTGCTGACGCTGTACGGCAACGAGGCGGACATGTGGAGCGACATGTGCATCGCCATCGAGGATCTGTCCGCCGTCAGCTTCCAGCTGGTGCGGGCCCAAGGCGAGGCGGCGATGGCGCCGACGCCGAGGATCACCGGATCGCGGCAGGCACTGGAGGTGCAGCTGCCGGTGCCGGAGCACTCGCTGCCGGGCAACGGCACCTCCATTGCGTTCAAGATCACGCCCGTCTTCTTCAACATCGGCATCAACGAGAAGGCCAGCTTCGCGGAGACACTTGGCCAGACGCGCGAGCAGCACCGCTCCAACTGGGACAACTATCTGCGCCTGAGCCAGTACTTTGGGCGCTACCGCAAACTGGGCCTGGGCTCCGTCGACGCCGGCGAATCGCTGCAGTCGCTGCTCGGCTTCATGGAGCAGCAGCTGCGGGCCAACGTGTCCAAGAACGTCAAGATACTCCATCTGGCCGAGGACGCCTGCCGGCTGATGGACGGCCTGCGGTTCACCTCCTGCAAGAGCGCCAAAGACCGCACCGGCATGGCGGTCACCCTGGAACAGTGCCGCGTCCTGGTCCGCGAGTTCCAGCTGCCAGCCAAGCACGTGCCCTATGCGCTCAGCACAATGCGAAGGTGAGTTTCTAAATCGAATCTCTAGAGTGTTTCTAAATAATTCTAATTTATTTTTGAGTGCATGCAACAATGCATGGTGAAAATTACGCCTGCAGATTTTATTGCACTTTGTCTTTAAATATTACAAAACTAAAAAACAATTGAAAATATTATGGCTGATTGGATAAAAATATTGATTTTATTTATGAATCGTATCTCTATAGTTTTTCAAAGTAGCTTCAATTTATTTTTGAGTGCATGGTGAAAAATACGACTGCAGATTTAATTGCATTTTGTCTTTAAATATTACAAAATTACAAAAAAAAAATGAAAATATTTTGGTTGAATGGTTAAAAATATTAGTTTTATGTCTGATTAAAAACTAATTGATTTTTTTTTAAATACTTTTAAAAATAGTTTATATTTCAAAAGAGGTTGTCTATTTTTTCACAAATGGATAAGCCTCTTAAAAAATTTATTTTTATGTATGGTAGCCCATTTCTGTCGGGTTTTCAATTTTTAATAGTTTTTAAAAATAATAATTCGCTAGAGATAAACATATTATTGCCATCACTGCAGAAGCATTGCAGGACTGCAATAAACGATTCCTTTTTTGTTCTATTTTAGTTTAAATAAAACTAAAAGATAAAGGATTTATCGCACTTGGAAAAGGGTTATTGCACTTGCAGATGTGTTCATCATATGGTTGTTTCGAAATCCTCAATAGAAATCCATTAAAAACCACATATAATTAAAATTTTAAGACCTGTTTGCGGTATACTGAAAGTCTTTATACATATATTGAGTAGTTAAAATTCTCCAACATATTTTAAATAGTTTAAAAAGGCTAAAAACATATTCAAAGAGATATGGCATTGCATTCATTACCCTAAAATCTATATTTATGAAGTCATTTTGCTCTTTGAAATTAAAAGGTTATATTCAAAAATTAGCAATTTAATTAATTACATTAAAAGTTCTTTTAAATATATTTGTTTTAAAGATGACTATACTTTTATATTCAAAATTATTTTTGAGCTTAAGATATAGTTACTCAATTCAATGAAGTTCAAAATGTCTCTAAGCAAGAAATATGTACATATTGCCAAAACATTTTCTAAAGAAAAATTTCTAACATTTTTACCTATTGTGTGTATTGCTATGATAGAAAAAATATCTAAGAAAGGAACCTATTGAATTGAAGTTATATACTTATATTTTCTATTCCAGTGAGGGCACCCGCATGGACAACGTACTCAAGAACATTGGGAAGCGAAAGTATGCCTTCAATCGAACTCAGGTCTCTTTTCTGCCGGCCATGTACAGACCGCCAGTTGGTAGTTACGGCAAGGCGCAGACTTAAGGATTCCACGCGGGATAGGGATCCGGATAGGGATCCCCTTCTGAATGTGCAATCGAAGTACTTAAGAGGATTCGAACTGGTCAACACATACGATATATCAGCGGAGCAAAGCAAAACAAAACGTATAAAACTGTGCCAAAAATACAAAACACAATTTAACCAATTTTGCGCAAGGCAAACAAAACAAAACAAAACGAATCGAAAAGTGAGAGAAAATAATAGGAAACTAATTAAATTAGCACATTGAAGGAGTAACTTCCGGACAATTGTTAAGGCATCACACAATTCCAATTGCAATACGGTAGTGTCTCCCGTAGTAGTGTCTATAACCCCTATATTCCCATATTTATTTAGGCTATATCCAGATAGTTGTAGTTTGCAGATGAGGCAACCGTGTACTTTAGCGACTCATGTACTTCCAGTGAATAAAAAAACAAACTTGTTAACCACTATTACACACAAACTTAACGTGACTGAGCTAGTTCTATATCCCTAATAGTCCTGCACCCGTCCGGTGCCGAGACGCTGCTTCCGGATCTCGGTCTTCAGCCACGAGGGCACATCGCGTATGGCATGGGCGTTGGGGAAGCGCAACTGCTGCTCCGGTCCATCGAAGGGATGCGTTTTGGCCAGCTTGCGCTGCAGGTATTCCTTGTTGAGCTGCTTCTGGTCGCGATGCTTGTCCATGTACAGATTGAATGGCTGCTTCAGCGGGAAGAACTTCTGATCGGCCAGATACGGCTTGGGGAAATCGTACTCGTAGACGGGTTCCTTGCACTCTGCGCGACAAAGATATGGATAACGATGTCAGTCTGAGATCTGATATCTGATATCTGATGCGAGCCCCGCCCTCAACTCACTCAAGACATCATGGTAGAATGGGGTCAGCGACTCGTCCCAGTTGGTCTGATAGAAGGCCAAACCAGCCGGCGTCAGCTCCTCCTGGTGCTGGCGATAGAAGTCCAGGGTGCGGAAGGTGCGCTTCTCCAGGTTGCTGTAGTCGGCATCGTTTATCTGATAGGAGTCCAGATCGAGGCGCTGTTGCTGCTTGTACAGCACAAAGACCATGCGCTGGTAGCCAACGCCGCGTGGCGGGAACGGTGGCAGATACTCGGCAAGCACCTGGCCATCGGCCACCTTGCCATTGGGTATATTGGCACTGGACAAAGGGAGGATCAGTCGCGATCAGGCGGGTCATTGTCATCATAGCTTACATGAACCAATGCAGGCACTCGGCCGTGGCATTTGTATAGTGCGCATCGGGATTGGTGGCCACCAGGGTCCACCAGTAAGTGGTGTCCTGGCCAGCGGCGGCAGTTTGTCCGGTGATGGGATCCAGCAGGCCATCGAAGGTGATCTGCGGCGCCTTGGCGGCCTCCGCCGGCTTGATCACGTTGCCATTGTAGACGGGCGCCAGGCTGTCGCCCTCCAGCTGGTAACCAATGTTGAGCGGCACCCGGGGCACAAAGTAGGCGCTGCCAAAGAGGTGCTCGAAGATGCCGTAATGATCGGCCAGCAGGCGCAGATCATGCTGGCCCGTGGTCCGGACATAGGTCCGCTGCACCTTGTCCAAGTCGATGATCACTGCAGGGGAGATATGAGATAGGTTAATCCAATGGGAATGTGACCCACCCCCCAGTGCATCCACTTACGCTTGTTGCTGCGCGCCAGCTGCTCCAGTTCCTTGCTGCTGCGCTGCGCCCTCAGGTGCTCCAGTCGCGCCTTCAGCTGCGCCGATCGCGACTCCTTCAGCTGCGGGAAGCCAATGTTGATGCGGGCCACCACCTCCGGATCCGTGGCGGTCTCCTCTGGGGTGAAGATGTGTACGGATAGGTATTATCTGAGGCAGGAGACCCGGCGAGTGGTTACATCAATGCCGCATCGCTTACCTTGCACCCGCTGCTCCAGGGTGCGGGCCACGCCAGGCGGCTTGCCTCGGATGGTGTGTCCTTGCCGGGTTCCCGTCAGCAGCACGCTGGCCGGGGCACCACGGACACCCTGGTTGAGGCCGCTTTTCATTAACAAATTACTGAACGACATGGTTTTGTAATTTGCAGGCGGCTCGGTTCGGTATATACGTGATGGAAGTCAAAATAATATACCGTAATATACTTTTTATACCATTACTCAAGAATACCACAATTCATATGGGGTATTCCCGTCGCACTTGACAAGAAAAAGAGACAGCTGTGTGAAATCAGAGGAAAACTATCGAAAGCGAGTAGACTTAGAGATGGAAAAATAGGTTTGCTTATTTTAAGTTATTTCTGTAGGTTTCCTTTTTTTAAGTTCTTTCACTTCAAAATATTCCTGTTGCTAATTTTTGATCTGCCGAATATATATATTTTGAATGCCAGTAAAATCAAGTCATATTTTAACATTATTAATCGAGTACTTATCTTTCGGATCTTTATTTAAATACATAAGTTACTAAATACTAATCTTTACTTGTAACCTTATTTCTGAATACAATTAAAGCTATTTAGCTTTTAATTTATTAGGTTTTCGGTGATAGAATATTTTGTTCAAGTATATTGGGTTGCGCTATGTAACGGTGACAGTTGTTTGCCAGAACATAAATATTAAAACCCAGTTTTAAAAACCTACAAAAAAGTAAAGTACTTTCTGAATGTTCAGCACTTGAGGAAACGACATAAAATTGTTTCTGTTGAATTGACTGACCAGCGTAACAAAAGTATTTTTAAATTGTTGTAACAAGTTTAATTTTATTTTACATTGTTTATTACTATAACTATTTTAATTATTTACTAGAAACTAAAATAATTTAAGTGTTCCCTATATGACTAAATCTCTGAATTGCTATAAATGTCTGCTGAATTAGCGTTTTTGTTTTTTAATGCTTCTTCCTAATTTGATTTAATAGTATATAAGGCGTTTTACGAGGTTTTTAACAAATGACGAATTTTCTGAAAATTGAATTTGTTTGGCAAAGAGCTAACCGTAATTCAGCGATTCAGTGGCTTAGAAAAAACCCTGAATTTAATTACCAAATCACGTTATACGCGTGAGTGCTTTCACTCACTAAAAAACTATCGATAACACGTTTGTCAGCCCTGGTCTGACCAGCTGTTTTTAAAACCCACTACACGTGATAGTTGTTATTGTTGTTGTTGCTGTTGCGTGTGTCCGAATTGCCTTTCAAAAGTCAAATCAACTAACGTAATTCGGAAAACCATGTTTAATACTTTCTAAAATTACACCAGGACCTCGAGCACATCCCATTTTGGACACCACTACTAACATTATGGCTGGTCCGCCGGCGGAGGACATATAAATATCGCAGACCGGCCACCAAAACCACTTAAGAACAGCAACCCTTGAAGATTGGCAAATCCAGAGAAGCCGGACAGCATGCAATCCCTGCGCAGCTGCCCGGCCCGTGGCCTAATCCTCTCCAGCGCCTTCCGCGGCGGTCAACGCAGCCTACGGATGAGTTGGCCACGGAAGAGCGGCGCGCAAGGTGCAGGTGCAGGTGCAGGAGGAGGACTAGGAGCTGGAACTGGAACTGGAGGCACCTCCGCCACCGGCACCATCGGCTTTTCGGCGCTCCAAAAGCTACGGGAATGGCATGCCAGCGCCTTTAGCAGCCGCTTCCTGCTCTTCACCAACGTGGGCATCTCGCTGTCCCTCAGCTGTGTGGGCGACATCCTCGAACAGCATCTGGAGATCTATTGCGGCGAAATCGAGCGCTTCGAGTCCACTCGCACCGCCCACATGGCCATCAGCGGGGTGACGGTGGGCGTGATCTGTCACTATTGGTACAAGATGCTCGACAAGCGTCTTCCCGGGCGCAGTATGCGCGTGGTGGCCAAGAAGATCGTGCTAGACCAGCTAATCTGCTCTCCCATATACATTTCCGTGTTCTTCGTCACACTGGGCGTGCTGGAGCGGAAGGACAAGCACGAGGTGTGGGAGGAGATCAAGGAGAAGGCCTGGAAGCTGTACGCCGCCGAATGGACGGTGTGGCCGGTGGCGCAGTTCGTCAACTTCTACTGGATCCCCGCCCATTACCGCATCTTCTACGACAACATCATCAGCCTGGGCTACGACGTGCTCACCTCGAAGGTCAAGCACAAGCAGTCGCACTCGCATCTCAAGAAGATTCCCTAACCCTGCGCCAGCCTCATCCCTTGTAACTATTTATTATCAAAGCAAAAACCTTGTAAATACAGACGAGATCCCGTGTACAGACTAAACAATTGTGTATTAATCACAGCGGTTACAACGTTTGATTGAGCTGCCCAACTGGGCAACTGGAAAGCCTTGGCCAACAAAAGGACCTGCAAGCACGAGTACAATGATCCGGGGCCGATGGGGAACTGACCAAAAGGAAGCCCGTGCCGATGACGCACATCTAGTTTGGCGAATGCGATAAGATTCACCCTCTAGCAACAGCCGAGCTAACAAACATGCGATGCGATGCGATGGCGATGGCGATGCCAAGCCTACCTTCTGAGTTGTTTCCACCTGATAAGCTCTGCTTGGCAGCCGCCTCAAAAATACTTTATAGAACCCATAACCATCGCAGTGATAAGGGCCTGCTGAACGCATCATTAGAAACTATATATGTAGCTATAAATATAGATAGGCACGTGAGGCTTTCTATTCTATAGCAGAAATCACGAATTGCCAATTTTGCTGATTTGACTTTCAAAGATTCTTACTGAAATTAATCGGATGTGTTGAAAGCTTTAGATGATTATACACTGGCCGATAGCAGTGTAATGTTATTACATTTTTTCAAAATATTGATTATTAGTTATTAAAGCTTTATTAGCTTTAAATATTTGTATAACGATTCGCTTAAAATACAACTACAATACTAAATATAATATTGTTTTATATATTTAAAGCAACATATGTAAGTTAAGGAGTGTGAAAACATATTGCTTTGGGATTACACTTATAGCCAAACCAATTCTGTGGCCTTTATTATTGAGAAATTTTAGCTTTAAGGGAAAAAAAGATTTGGCCATTCACTATCTTTATTTATTGGGCCCAAGAGAATCTTATCAAGTCATGCCAAATATTTTGGAGACACGTCATCCTTTCCAGCACTCCACCACTTTCATTCGCACGACTATCTATATAGTATATAGATCGGGGGTGCGTGGAGAGTTCTGTCAAGTGTTTCTTCCTCATATCCATTAATGAAATGAGCTGCTGCCAGTTCTTATCTCGTTTGACTTCGCTTTTTATTTCAAGAGCGTTTAATTAGAATCGTGCTTGACATTGATAATGAAAGTTTCCAAATAAAAAAAGAGCCAAACAAGACTCATTTCAATGCCATGTGGATGGCAACAAAATCGAGTTCCTTTTGGAAAAAAAAGCTGAATAAATTCCGAATTTCTTGCCTTCGCCTCGCATCGATTTGAATGTGTTTCGGTTGAAATTTATTCGAATTTTGGCGTTGCTTAATTTTTTGCATATATGTATATGTGTCTGGTCTTGCGAATCGGAAAACAAGACCGGTTGGGAACCAGTTTTTTGACTGAGAAGATTAATTCTCGATTTCGTCTCGCTACCTAGCAACCTAATCTTGTTTGTTTGGGGTCGCCTTCAGCAAAAAAAGAAATAAGAATCGATACCGTTTGGAATTTTTAATTTGATTTTATAATGAAAGTTTGCCAGTCGTCTTAAGCAAAAAATGTTAATTTTAAACAATCTTTTTATCATATAAATGTATACTTTTATTATGTTATTAAACATGTGTTTAACAAAGTGATTAAATGTACTTTTTTTTGGTCTTAGAAATATTAACTTTTTTGGCAAATCATTTTTAATACATATAAATATAAACAAATATTTATTTATTATTATTCGAAATATTTTGTAAACAATAACTTGAGAATAGATAAAGTACAAGTATAGATTTATTAACTTGCTTACGGTTACGGGGCGTATACGCGTTGTGTAAATCAGAGCATCATCCTCGCAAATGAGAACACAAAAATGACTCCATATCATATAATGGCGATCCAATTCAGGCCAATTTCCCCTTTATTCTTATAATATTCTTAGTTGCATATGTTATTTGCGTACTCGCGTCTTTGGATCATATCTGCTGACGCACTGCGTCATCTGTCATGCATAAATGCGTGAGATAATCCACTGCCATCGCTCTAAGCTTGCGGATTGGTCGAATTTCAGGGCTCGTCCGCTTGTTGTTCACGCCATAATGGTAAAAATACGAAAATACAGATGCAGAAAATACGTACACAGATAGAAAAATTTGTATCTGTTTTAAAATGTATGGTATGTAAAAAGTTAAGTTAAACCTTTTATTATTATATTTATTTATGCTTACATTTGATTTTTGAATGGAGCTGTACTCTCAAATATGATTAGGTAAATTTTATTGGGAAACAAATATTTATTGGTGTTTAAAGCTTATGAATATATAGATCTAACAGTATCTTAATTTTTTACGTGTCAGTAGATCCTTTCCAATTGGGAACTGGTATTAAAAAAATATCACAAAATTCATTCATTGTGGCATAAGTTGACATTCATAGACTATAGGAAAAAAATACATACGTATAGGAAAACAAAATTTTCTGCAAAATAAAAAAAAATCACAAAGTTTATAATTTAAATAGCTTTTGTATTTTTTTTTTGTTTTTAAAAAAACATCTATTGGAAGATGATAAATTGTTAATTTCAAACACTTCTGAAGTGAAAAAGAATAACAAACTTTGTATTAAATAATATTCCGGAGACCATTTATATCTTCAGTGATTTGAAACCACTAAAAAAAGCATTCAAAAGTATGCAGTAAAAAATAAAATTTGTATTCTATTAAACTTTAAGACCCTATTTATTAGTTATTTCAAATCTCTAGAAATTATTGGCCAAATTCTATGGTTCTGAAGTTCATCCTTAAAGTGATCTTATTTCTTGCGGTGTATGGGTACATATATTGCATGGTGGTTATATAAAAACAACACGGCGGGGGGTGATGACGATCGGAGCCGAAAGAGCGGCAAGTGGAGAGCAGCACACGCGCAGAAAAGTTTTGTAAAAGAGCCAAAGAGTTTGCGATGGCCAAAGAGCGCGAATATACATATAATACAAATTTACGCAACTCGCGAAC